AGAGTTTGTTTGAATTTGTTTGTTTGCGCTAATCTCAGGAACTACTAATCTGATTTGAAAAATTATTTGTTTGCATTAGATAGGAGCCCGTTTATTGACAAATATATATCATATAATATATAGTCTATTCCATACTAAACGTTAAAACTTACCTAGGGACGAACTCGAGCGAAGCAGGGTGAATCGCTAGCTTTAAATACAAGAAATACCTACATACTAAATACCGATCCACACTTTAGTGTCAATCGCGGTTCGTTTTCCGATATCGGTCTGGTATAGTATTTTTAACCACCGACGCAAAAAGAGGGGTGTTATAAGTTTGGTCTGTCTGTGGCATCGTAGCTCTCAAACGGATGGACGGATTTCGATGCGGTGTTTTTCATTTGAAAGCCAGTTTCCTTGCGGTGGTTTTTAGCTATGTTTGGTTAATATCGGTCCAGCAATGTAAGAGTATCAGCTCTTTTCCAAAATGATGCAAGGCATTCTGGCGTATGATTACTCGATTAAGTGCTTCACGCGTGCCAGTGTAATCGTTAAATGACAATTAATTTGCGTAGGGGTTTTTTTTTAATTTTTTCAGTTCCGATCGAATTGCATTCCAGCAACGTTTCTTGTACAAAAAAATTTTTACTAGAAAGAAATCGAACCACGAACGGACTGTGATATATCTCTATAGTGTGGATCGGTCATTATAGTGCACAATAAGTGTTGGAAAAACAATACGCCCTTGGAAAAACAATTATAATGAATTTTATATTCATTTGCTACCGTAAAAAAGCTAGTGTAATAAAATAGAGGGAAAATGATAAATTGTACTAGCTTAGAATAATACGTAGTTATTTTTTTTAATTTTTATGATATTATAATGATAATTTTCCACGTGCAACACATCAGACAAAAAATTAAACGTCAATGGTCTAACTGAGACTTAAGTTAATTTAAATGGCAACATTCATGGGTAAATTAAAATTTAAAAAACCTTTTTCCGGTCCTTAACTTTTTTGTTTTAAACACGTAGCTATTTGTAATGCAAGGCTACTTATAATTATATATACTTATAATTTTATTTATAATTATAATAAAATTGTAACTGATTGCTGTCTGTACTTGGAAGATATTTGAGAAAAATTATTATTGGCGGTATTTTATTAAGGCAATAGAACACAAAACAATGATTTTTAGATTTTTTGTCGGTTTGTCTGTTTGTTTAGTATTTGTTTTATTTCAATCGGTTCATAAATAAAAAAGTTTGCCAATTTAAAGAATCGCCTAGTTTATATTTAAATAAAATACAAAATGTATTTATTTGATTTTCATTCGAGTAGTTCAAAGTTTAGTGGTCAGCATGTTCTGCTGCAGATCTGGCGTTCCTAAGTTCGAGTCCCGGGTCGGTTCAAGTATAGCTAAGTAACAGCCCGGTGTAGGGAAGTTGAACGTAAAGCCTTTAGTTCTGAGCTTGATTTGCTTCAACAATTGTGTCATATTCTTGTCCCACCGGAGTTAGAGGATACGACGAATAGAGAGTGCATTTCATGGCCATCATTATAATTTAAGAGTATAATCACCATATGGCCAAATCTACCAAGAATATATGAGAACTAGCAACTTATCCTCCTTCCGGTCGAGTTCGTCCCTAGTTACGTTTTAACGTTTAGTAAAGATTTCTCAGAGATGAGATATTTTTCCGCAATAAAAAGTATAATATATGTTATTAATATATGTATATATGTTGACCCGGATAAGCACCTATCATCATACCAAGTTTCATCAAAATCTGTCCTACGGTTTTCTCGTGATGCGTTCTCAAACAGACAGACAAACATTTTAAAAACTATAAATTCGGCCTCATTATCGATAATAATGTCTATTTCAATAAGATTTTCCAAAAAAATATTTAATGTACAGCGAATCTGTAAGATTCAGTTAGAATTTTATTATATGTATAGATTTCAAACATATTAAAGTTTGGCTCAATTTGTAGTGACCCTACTTGCTGTGGCAGCAGTCGCGGCGTCGAGTCCCGCTGGGGGGCATTCATTTGTGTCATGAGCACGAATGTTTGTACTCCGGTCATGGGTGTTTATATTTAGAATATTTATAATATATATTTATTTAAAGTTATATATGGGTAGTGTATCAACTATCTGGTATACATAACACAGGCCTCGTAGCTTATATGGAACTACATAGATGGTGCTGTGTGTTAATGTCCCAACATATTTTTTTATTTATTTTATATTATATTATATCACATGTCTAAATATTCAAGAAATATATTCAGCCCTTTTTAACGTCCCACTGCTGGGCACGGACCTCCCTTCAATACGAGGGGGATCAGGCCATAGTCCACCACGCTGGCCAAGTGCGGGTTGGCGGACTTCACATGTCTTTCGAAAACTTGCTGGGTTCTCTCAGACATGCAGGTTTCCTCACGATGTTTTCCTTCGCCGTTAAGACAAGTGGTAATCATGTTGGAATTGATTCGACATGAAAATATCAGAAGTGCGAGACCCGGGATTTGAACTCGCTTCACTCGGTTTCCCAAGCTAGCGCGTTACCACTGGGCTACCACTGCCTTCAAGACATATAAACACAAAAATACACGAAACCTTAAAACGTTAAAATTTAGGGAAAATTACGACTACCAAACTTTAAAATTCCTGATAGTAGTTATGTCAAAATGCTCTCACCATATTATATATCGCTTGACTAGCATTGCCCGCGGCCCGCCTGCGTTCAGATGACTCAAAACCAAATTCTTAGGTTTTACATATTAGTATACTCTTACAATGCAGTTTTTGTATTTTTTCTCAGAAATGAGATACTTTCCCACTGTAAAAAGTATCCTATATGTTGACCCGAATAACCAGCTACTATCATACCAAATTTCATCAAAATCCCCCCAGTGGTATTCCTGTGATGCGGTAACAGACAGACAGACAAAAATTCTGAAACTATAGATTCGGCCTCTGTGTCGATAATAATGTCTATTTCAATAAGATTTTCCAAAAAATATTTAAAGTACAGATTCAGCTTAGTTACAATTTTATTATATGTATAGATAATTGTAAAGTCTGTCTATCTATAGTTTTTAAAAAACCATGACGAAGAAAGAGAGAGAGAGAACGACATTGTTTTCTAAACAAGCTCTCGTAAATAAGCAAATGTGAAGATGATCACATTATAGGCAATTTTGCAATGCAAGATATATAGCTGTCACCTTGGCTTAAGGTCGACGATTTGTAGCGTTAGTGACGCAACCAGATATAAGGTATTTATCAAACGTACTAACGTCTTAATGACTTCTATATATGGATAAAGAAATTTGTTGTAATAACAAACATGTTTGGGGCTGCGCGTGCGCATGATTGATGAAAAATTTGTAGATAAAATAAATCGCATATCTTTTCATATTAATCCTGTTATTTAGAGATAAGCCCGAATTGGATTGAACTTTGAGTTTTTTTAATATTTTTGTATACCAAAAGTTACGGACAGTTTTATATAGTTTTAAAATTGTTTCTTTTTCTTTTGTGTCCAATTCAAAAAAACCGAATTTCCGACAAATTAGCAGAAAGGGCTAGTAGCTTGCGAGTTTTATTAGAAAAAGCTATTGCCCAAATCTTCACCGCATTTCGTGCCGAATTATTAGAAACTATACTATCAAGTTTGACTTGGCATCAATCTGTATGCCTGTTTGACCTAGAAAGCTTCTAGCAGCAATCTTACAACTTCTAGACGAATGCCCTACTCCTTCCTTGATAATAATATCATATCAGCGAACAACAGATTGTATTGCAGACAAAAACCACACGTTCATCTTGGATAAAGGTAATGGGGATATCTGTCTAAGGGTTTCTTTATTTAGTGGTGACCACCGATAAAGCGAACATTTGCATCACCATTTAGGATGGTGTATGTGAATGTCAAAGTTTATGAGGATGTCTGGATTTATAGATGTTTGGATGTTTGTTACTCTTTCACGCAAAAACTACTGAATGGATTTTAATGAAACTTTACAATAATATAGCTCATACATCAGAATGACACAAGACCTTTTTCCCGTTAAATTTGGTTCCCGTGGAACAGATTTGTTTTTGTTTTTCTAGAGGCAAACCCTATCGAAGCGAGGGTGAACCGCTAGTTATCAACCAAGAGTCTAAAGGCCGGGTAATCTACACAGTGACAATAAAATCTTTATCATCATAATAAAATCATAATTACAATGTATGATATTGTAGAATATGTCTACAATAAATTATGTATACATATAATAAAACTAGCATTGGCCGCGGCTCTGCCCGCCCGCGTATCACGGAAAAACCACTGGAGGGATTTTGATAAAATTTGGTATGATGATAGCTGGTTGTCCGGGTCAACATATAGGAAGGATACTTTTTACAGTGGGAAAATATCTTATCTCTGAGAAAGCGGTACTAAACGGTAAAACGTAAGCTAGGGACGAACCCGGGCGAAGCAAGGGTGACAAGTTAGTATATAAATATATTAAAAAGGTGTAGCCCTCTCCGGTGAGTTTCTTCCGGAAGTTCTTCTCAGGGTGGAAGCATTTTTTTCTAAATTACTGGTAAAGTTTTTCACATACATTAATTATTGAATAAATATTGTTAGTTTTTACTATCAAGCTAATTTAAAAACGCATAATTCTATTTATATGTTTGTATTCGGCTCTTTTTAACGTCCCACTGCTGGGTACCTTCGATACGAGGGGGATCAGACCATAGTCCACCACGCTGGCCAAGTGTTTGTTGCCGGACTTCACATATCTTTCGAAAACTTGTTAGGTTCTCTCAGACATGCAGGTTTCCTCACGATGATTTCCTTCACCAAGACAAGTGGTACCTAATCATGTGGGAAATGATTCGCACATGAAAATATCAGAGGTGAACCCGGGATTTGAACGCTTCATTCGGTTTTCCAAGCGAGGGTGTTACCACTGGGCTATTTGGCTTATATACTAAAAAGACATATTTTTATTCCAGTATGGCAGACAGCACATCGAAGTTGCGAAGAAGCTGCAAAGGAGCGACAGTTCTGATGAAGAAGAAACACCAACTCCTGAAGACAGGCCACCTTCCGCCCTTATCAAAGAGAATGGCACGAATGGTAATTTTTATTTTTATTTGTTGGGACATTAACACACAGCACCATCTAGTTCCATGGTAAGCTACGAGGCCTGTGTTATGGATACCAGATAGTTGATACACTACACATATATAACTTTAAATACATACATATTATAAATATAAATATAAACACCCATGACTGGAGTACAATGATCCGTGCTCATCACACAAATGAATATCCCCAGTGGGATTCGAACCCGCGACCGCTGACACAGCAAGTAGGGTCACTAGAAACTGAGCCAATTTTGTCAAATTTTAATCGCTATATTTCGCAGACATGTTTGTTTAATGCCACTTTTTTGTGTGTTGTGTATTCATTACCTTTTTAAATTTTTATTTGTACTTGACTTCAAAAATAAGTACACATAATATCTTTTCGAGTGTAAGTTTTCGGTAATTGTGGACTGATTTTCTATACTTTTCAAGATAAAATCCACACAATGCTGTTGGGTAAAAGCCATTTTGTTACTTTTATATATATCGTTTTAGTTAAAAGTAATTATTTTATGTACTAATCTAGACTATAGACTCACCTTTCATATCCTGACATTCGCCCCTACATACGTTTTGATGCTTAGTATGGAATAGATAGAATATATATATATATATATATATATATATATATATATATACACATAGGTATGATGAGTTTTATATCATGACTAGCATTGCCCGCGGCTCCGCCCGCGTTCAGATGACCAAAAACCAAATTCTTAGGTTTTACATATTTAGTACACTCTTACATTGCAGTTTATGTATTTTTTCTCAAAAATGAGATTTTTCCCGTGGTAAAAAGTATCCTATATGTTGACCCGGATTACCAGCTATCACCATACTTTCATCAAAATTCTTCCAGTGGTTTTTCTGTGATGCGGTAACAGACAGACACACAGACAGACAGACAAAAATTCTCAAAACTATAGAATCGGCCTCTGTATCGATAATAATGTTTATTTCAATAAGATTTTCAAAAAATATCTAATGTACAGATTCGGCTTAGTTACAATTTTATTATATGTATAGATTTCTCAAATACTTGAGAAGTTATTGATTTCCCATACAAACTTGCTCGAGAGATGATTTCCGGTATAAAAATATCCTATCCTATGTCCATCCCAGAGTCTCAAACTATCTCCATACTAAAATTCATCTAAATCGGTTTAGCGGATCAGCCGTGAAAAGGTTATAGACAGACAGGAATTACTTTTTTATTTGTAATATTAGTATGGATGCATCGATTTAGAAAGTACTAGATACACAATCCCATGCAAAAGTTCTTTTAAAACGGTCACCAATTGTGTTTAGGTAATTGTTCTAGTTGACATATGTAAATATACAACAATGTAAATTTGACCTTAAATGCAACGCTTAAAGTTTGTTTTGACAAAAAAATATTAAAAGCGCTCTTAAATTTTCAAATGAGCGCACATTCGGTGAGGACATTTTTTGTCGCTGATTGTGTATCTAGTACTTTTGTGATCGATGTATCGATGTACTGCACCAGACCGCCTGACAGACAGACTTACCAACGAACTGCATTTTAGTTTTATATATCCAGATAAATATCTGGTTTAGAAAGCATCTACCTCTTAATAATTTTTTTTTTCAGGTACTAAAACAAGTGTAATAGAACGGCAGGAGATCTTAGGACCGTCACCAGAACTGAACTATAAAAGGAGTTCCAGTCAGGAAAGAGTCCAAAACGGACATCACACTGACCACGGGAAGGTTGAGGTAGGTTATATCCGTAAATTAATAGCAAAAAAATTTTTTAGAAACGAGCTTTTTACTCGATTGCGGCGAAGCCCAAAGAAGGGTTATGTTTTTGACCATTTTTAGAATTTTAAAAAATCTTGTACGACCCCTAAACATTTTTTTTCGAGCTGACCTATAAAGAGGACTTTCGAAACATGAAAAACTAACATATTTCATACGAGAGACGATCCCCTATCCTTTCCAATTGCAGACAAACCTGGAGTTCCACCTCCACCACTGTATGGACCTGGTGAGGGCTGGAATGGAGTCGATCATCGAAGACCAGGTCACGTCAGTCTTCGAAGCTGAGGAGTTGAGGAGTTGGAACCTCCTCACCAGAACTAATAGGTGAGTTATTTGTACTAGTTTATTTAAAAAGATGATTATGGCATTATTCTTTTTTTTATTTTAATCTGTGAAGCTTGTTTTTTTTTTCATTATATACATAATATGTGGTCAGTGGTAGCCCATTCGCTTGGGTAACTGAGAGAAGCGGGTTCAAATCCCGGGTCTTGCTCTCTGATATTATCATATGCGAATCATTTCCAACATGATCACCACTTGTCTTACGGTGAAGGAAAACATCGTGAGGAAACCTGCATGTCTGAGAGAACCTAGCGAGTTCTCGAAAGGCATGTTCAGTCCGCCCGCATTCGGTGAGCGTGGTGGACTATGGCCTCATCTGATCTGACGGCAAAATCTAATATAGTAGCATAAACAGCAAATCACGCAGCCATTTTTGACTTTTACATTTTTTTGGCGCGCTTATTCTATATCAATTTTTAGTTTTAGTAAAAAAATACCCTCCTAAAGATATAATTATTATCTTATTTCAAACTCGGCCTTTTTTTAGGGTTCCGTACCTCAAAAGGTAAAAAAAGAACCCTTATAAGATGATTTTCTTGTCCGTCTGTCTGTCTGTGTGTCACCACCGATTTTGTCAGGAACAAGTGGACCTAGCAAGTTGAAATTTATACCGGATACTGAGGTCTATAGTCCCTATTAGGTGTATAAAAATCAAGGTCCTGATTCAACACGATAAAAAGATATGGTTAAATTTAGATTTTGTATGTCCGTAATTTTTGTTGAACTAGTAATTATTTTTCAGGCAATACGAGTTTCTGACGTGGCGTCTAACAATCATATGGGCGATGGGTTTCGTTGTGAGATATTTTTTCTTACTCCCTCTGAGAGTGCTCATATTTGTTATTGGCGTAAGTATTGAAATTTGTTTTTTTTTATATATTTAAAAAAAATGACGATTTTTTTTTGTTTGCATCTTTGACTTTAACCTTGCTTCGTTCAACTTTAATTTTGAGTAATTTTTAAAGTAATATTAAAAACTAGCTAGTAAAAAGTATCCGATATGTTGATCCGGATAACCAGCTATCATCATACCAAATTTCATCAAAATCTGTCCACTAGTTTTCTCGTTATGCGTTCCCAGACAGACAGACAGACAGACTGACAAAAATTCCAATACTACTATTCCGAAACTATACATTCGGTCTCAGTATCGATAATAATGTCTATTTCAATAAGATTTTTCACAATCAGTCACGTGTGTATAGACCCTTAGAACCTAACTCAAAGCAAAGAACGGTTAAAGGAGAACACTAATTTTAAGATTTTTTGTTCATATATTCATTTATCAAACTAAATAATTATGAATAATGAATATTTAGAGACTTATTGTATGTACATATATATCACTAGCGAGTAGCGACTCACCTCGCCTCGCTCAGGTTCGTGTCTAGATTGATTCCCCATACAAACTTTCATCCCTATTTTCACCCCCTTAAGGGATGATTTCCGGGATAAAAAGTATCCTATGTCCTTCCCAGGGTCTCAACTATATTCTTACAAAATTTCATCTAAAACTGTCCAGTAGTTTTTGGAAATTATTCGTTACAAACATACAAAAATACAAATCTTTCCTATTTATAATGGTAGTGCAGATTTAGAATTTGAATTTATTTACTTAGAACACTGATAATGATATTTTAATAATTTTGCTTATATAAGTTTTGAGTTTTTACTAATAATGATATTTTTTTGGCTGTCTGTACATTTAAAAACTAACTCTTATAGGATCACTTGTGTGTCTGTCTGTTCGTGTGTGCATAGTTTATAAAATATTAAAGAAATTAGTGTATGAGTATTTAGTGTTACTATATAAAAAAATGTACATTTTTATGTAGTTTGTTACTGTTAGACTCAAATAGCTCTTTTAGCTCTATATGTCTAAAAATCTAAATGAAAGAAAAGCAAATAATAATCTACAACCCATTTTTAGGTATATATTGTTTTTTTATAAATGGCGTGAATTAAAAAATATAATAATGAATTAAAAAATATTCAATAATACTTGAATTTTTTTTGTCTAAAATAATAATAATGTTAATTGTTATGCTATTACTATTTCTTTTTTTTGTTGTTGTTTTTTTTTTTAATAACTAAACTGCTATTTTTATACCACTATTTTTTTCTACTATAATTTATACCAAAAACTACCATTTTCTACCATGTGATGGCAACCAGGTGTTCACAATGATAACATCGATGAGTCTCATCGGACTACTGCCGGAGAGCAAGTTTCGTCGATTTCTCGGCGCCATTGCATATAAAATAGCAATAAGAACTCTGATGCGAAGTGTGTCGTGTGTTACCAACTTTCACGACACACAATATATGCCAAGTTCGAACGGATTCTGTGTTGCCAACCATACGAGCCCTATTGATGTGGGAACTTTGAGTGTCAACACTTGTTTCTCTTTGGTAGGATTTTTGTTTTCTCAGTGTTACCAGCCTTGGGGTTAATGTGCTTGTTTATGTATAATTTTTAAGTTGTATACGTTTTTGCAGCGTATTTAATTCGAGATTGGCGTTTTAACGTTTAACTAGACAATAATTTAATTCAACTTATTCGATATTTGTTTCCTAGTTTTCATTAGATACATACAAACATATATACATACATACATACTCATACACACACATTTAGCTATTCTTTCATCTAAATCTTCCAATGAACCAAAATATACGCCAAATTCGATTAAAAATCACATCAGCCCCATTCAGTATCATTAAAATAATAGGTCTGGTGGCTAATCGTTTGTACTGCGTGCGTGGGAACGTTACCGGATGGTCGCTTCAAGCAGCGGGTGAACAACGCGTTATCACTTATGGTATTCAATTTCCTATCACGGTGTATATCGGCCGTGATAACGTATCACAATAGTGATGATAAGCCCCGCAGTGGGATTTGTGTCGCCAATCACACCAGCCCCATAGACGTGTTGGTGCTAATGTGTGATAGCTGTTATTCATTGGTGAGTGGGTTTGATATCGTGTTTAGTTTTTTTTTATTATAATAGTGATGAGATGTTTTGATCTTAGATATTAACTTTTAATTGAAAATTTATTATTTTTTTATAAGTTTAATATGTTTAAAATTAAACGCTCTCGTTAGATATTTGTTTTTGTTTTTTTATTTAACATGTTATACCTATGTTATATTATTATATAACGTACAAATGTTTTTATCCTTTTAAAAGGTAATTTAAAAAAAAATTGTATTTAAAATGTATAAGTATCACATATTTTTTAGATTTAAAAATCAAATCAGACAAACTGAAAATATGGTAAGTTGTTAATAATTTGGGATATTGTGTTGTCTGTTTGAAATTTGAAACATTATTTATATTGGGGCTGAATTGTTCGTGCATGTCAATCATACGTCAATCATGGGATACATACATGGGGCATGCCAATATAATGCCCCATCATTTGATCGTTGTATTGTAATCGGGATTGCTTATAATATTATTAAGATAGATTTTATAATATCGATACATATTACATATGTAGATGCTTTATGCATAATATTTTTATTTATAACCTAATATGTTGAAGTTTATAGGTTAGTATCCCACGAGATAAAGATTTATATATTGGCCCGATCTGGATTCTGGTCGAATACCTATTAGGAATATGCTATATATGTTTTTTTATGCAATAACTTATGTCGTTATATAACTACTAGCGACTCACCCTCGCATCACTCGGGTTCGTCCCTAGGTTGATTCCCCATACAAACTTTCATCCCCATTTTCACCCCCTTAATGGATGATTTCCGGGATAAAAAGTATCCTAAGTCCTTCCCAGAGTCTCACACTATCTTCTTATTAAATTTCATCTAAATCGGTTCAGTAGATCCCGAGATTACACCCTACAATGTCACGAACTCACAATTCACAAACTTTACCTCTTTATGATATTAGTATAGATAAAAAGATATCCAGCTCCAAAAAACTAAAGCTGCTCGGTGTGACGTCACAGTGTCATATACACAGAGACACGACGACTCAATTTGTAGCGACAAAATCGCTGATCGCTCTGTTATGATATACTCTGACGTCACATTCGGTCTGACCAATGGCGTGCGTTTCAACTAATTTGAATTTCACACCTATATTTGCACTATTTAATCATTATTTTTTTAATCAAAATGAAATTATATTAAAAAAATATTATAAAAAAGCAAAAAAGATTATAAAAAAATATTTCACCTTTCTTTAAATCACACGCCTATATATTCCCTATTGGCAGGACTTTTTATTTATTGAAGGAAAACTTAGAACCAAATTGAACATTAATATATGTATAGTATTTCTGTTTAGACAACGCCATATTCTGTGTGTTTTTATTATTTTATTAGTTTTATTCAGCTATACGTAGTTTAGAGTTCAGTCTAATTAAATCTATTGAAATAGATAGTACGTGACAAAAAAAATCACATGTACCGATTTTCATGGCGATCGTTTGAATTGTGTTAAATAATTTGGTGATGAGTTCCAGCAAAATGAATATCATTAAAATACAACACTTACATTTGTTTGTTAAATTTTCAAAGCAATCGATGAATAAGTTTACGTAAATAAATATGTTGTGACATTAACACACAGCGCCATCTAGTTCCGTGGTAAGCTACGAGGCTTGTGTTATGGATGCCAGATAGTTGATACACTACACATATATAAAACTTTAGATACATACATATTATAAATATAAACAGCCATGATTGGAGTACAAACATTCGTGCTCGTCACATAAATGAATGCCCCCAGCGGGACTCGAACCAGCGACTGCTGGCAAAGCAAGTAGGATCGCTACAAACTGAGCCAAACGTGTCGTCAAATTTATTTGAAGATTTATAGTAGTTTTATACAAACAAGAGTAATTGAATTCACGATTCTTTCAACGTACCACAATACAATATAGGGTCATTCATACATACATATATACATACATACATACATACATACATACATACATATAGTAAATATGTTACAAGGTTATGTTACCACAGATAATCTAACATTTTTTTTTAATTTAAGCAAATTATACTTTTGTCACTCAGTATTGAGATTATTTACATTTAAATATTAATTTCTCATATACATATTTGTAGACCAGGATCCAGATCTTATACTCGTATTGTTATAGTAAACTATGAGAAATATTTAAAGTATAATTAATCATAGATCAGTAAGTAAATAATATACATAAATATTTTTCCAAATTATTTAGTAGATAATTGTGTCAATTTTCGTGAAACTTAGCCGTTTTACATTTTATTATGATGTTTTTAGATCGGTCAAAGACATGGAGGGTTCCTAGGGCTCCTACAAAGAGCATTGGCTCGGGCTTCGCCCCACATTTGGTTTGAGAGGTCTGAAGTGAAGGACAGACATGCAGTCGCCAGAAGGTATTGCCATATTTATATTATTATTACTGCATATAACTAACTAGCGCCGTATCTTCGCTTCTTAAATAAAAGTAGCCTAAGTTACTCCTTATTACATCAGCTATCTGCCAGTGAAAGTCCCGTCAAAATCGGTAAAGCCGTTTCGGAGATTAGCTGAAACAAATAGACAGATAGACAGACAAACCTTATAAAAAATGTGTTTTTCTTATATGTACTGTATATAATACATACTTTCATATTATGCATTCAGTAAAAAGCTGTTATTTTGACATTACACACAGACACTTCAACTTTATTTATTTATCTGTATATATGTTAAATTGCTTCTAAGTAGCTTTACTTTGAAAAACAAGGGTGAAAAAGTTATTGAACTGTTTTGTCTCGCATATTTATATGTATATTATATACACGTTTGGCTCAATTTGTAGTGACCCTACTTGCTTCGAGTCCCGTTGGGGGCATTTATTTGTGTGATGAGCACGAATGTTTGTACTCTAGTCATGGGTGTTTATATTTAGAATATTTATAATATGTATGTATTTAAAGTTATATATGTGTAGTGTATCAGCTATCTGGTATCCATGACACAGGCCTCGTAGCTTACCATGGAACTAGATGGTGCTGTGTTAATGTACTAACATATTTATTTCTTTATTATATGTTTAAGATGATCTTGCAATTGTTCTAATCAGATTAAATCGAATTTTATTAATAAATGGGAAAATAATGACATTATAAAAATATCCAGCTATCTTCTACTATCGGACATGATTTTGGCACATGGCAATTGTGATAATAGTTTAAATTTAGTGATGATTCATTTATAATCTATCTATAAATTAAAAATGAAATACTGTTTGTTGGTGGGTAATGGGCAACACTTGAGAACGGCTTTGGGTCGATTTGGATATTTAGTTCGAATATGTTGTTTAAGAAAAAACCATTAAAAATCGCCCAAAAAGGTTCGTTTAAAAAAAGAAAATCGGAAAATTGAAATTAAAAAAAATACGCGTATCCTTATATAGAGGGGTTATATTATAGTGGAGGTACTCAACATAGTGCAAGATCTCCTCTTATGTAACTGCCACGCTTGAATAAATCCAAAAATTTCCTCTTCGGCTCCTCTACTATATAGGTCTATGTATAGCACTCACATACGCATTCAAGCAAAACGTGGATAAGTCACTATATATATATATATATATATATATATATATATATATATATATATATTATACAATATGTATATTATATTAAATGACTCGGAACTCAACCTCGCTTCGCACGGGTTCGTCGCTATACTAGTTTGATCCTCCATACAAACTTTCATCCGCATTTTCATATTTTCATTCCCTTAAGGGATGATTTCTAGGATGAAAACTATCCTTTATCCTTCTCAGGGTCACAAACTATCTTCTTACCAAATTTCTTCTAAATCGATTCAGTAGATCCATAGGTCACCTCACAAACCCACAAACTCACAAACTTTACCTCTTTATAATATTAGTATAGATTAGCATTGCCCGCGGCTCCGCCCGCGTTCAGATGACCGAAAACCAAATTCTTAGGTTTCATCTATTAGTATAACTCTTACATTGCAGTTTTTGTATTTTTTCTCAGAAATGAGACATTTTCCAGTGAGAAAAAGTATCCTATATGTTGACTCGAATAATCAGCTATCACCATACTAAATTTCATCAAAATCCCTCCAGTCGTTTTCCTGTGATGCGGTAACAGACAGACTAAAATTCTACAAACTATATATTCGGCCACTGAATCGATAATAATGACTACTTCAATAAGATTTTCCCAAAAATATTTAATGTACAGATTCGGCTCAGTTACAATTTTATTATATGTATAGATTATATTCTTTTGATTGATGTGACAACTCCGTGTGGGCTGATTGCATTTGAATTAATTTATTTTTTTGTATTCAGATTATTACAAATGCGTGCACAAATATTTGTTTTGTGTCTTTATTATATCTTATCTTATGGCTTATCTGATAATACTCGAAAAGTTCTCCAAAAGTAAAAATAAAAATATGTACTTCCCATCACTTTAGAAGGTATTATTTACTTAAAATTATAAAAATGTTTAAAGTTAAAATATTGTAAGGTACTTTGGTGCCATTTTTCAATTTTTTGAATTCATTTTGTTATTTGTGTGTAGGCTGTCTGTAACAACTATATAATACCTTAGAGACATGTAACACCTCAGTCTCTCCCGTGACCATGATTGCTGTAAAGCATTCGAAACGTCGGGAACCAAAAATCAAAATAAATCCGAGAAATAATCCGAAAAGATAGTTTTATTAAAAATATCAAATATTCGCGTAAATCTAAGAAAGTATTACTTAAAAGTGCTTAAAAAAAAGTTTTCAATTTGACAAATTTTATGGCTTCCTGTAACATGATCCACCATAACTTTCACCTCTAAATATGGAACAGCATTACTTTTTAGTATTCCGTACCCAAAGGGTAAAATGGGACCCTATTACTAAGGCTCCGCTGTCTGTCTGTCCGTCTGTCACCAGAGTGTATCTCATGAACCGTGATAATTAGACAGTTGAAATTTTCACAGATGATATATTTCTGTTGCCGCTATAACAACAAATACTAAAAAACAGAATAAAATAAATATATTTAAGGGGGCTCCCATGCAGCAGACATGATTTTTTGCCGTATTTATTTATTTATTGATAATGGTACGGAACCCTTCGTGCGCGAGTCCGAATCGCACTTGACCGGTTTTTTAGTTTATAATATTAGAAATCATGGCTTATTTTATTTTTTCTCTCCATTCCAGACTAAAAGAACATATCTCAGTGAAAGATAACCCGCCGATTCTAATCTTTCCTGAAGGCACGTGTATAAACAACACATCTGTGATGCAGTTCAAGAAGGGCAGCTTCGAAGTTGGGGGCACTATCTACCCGGTCGCTATCAAGTGAGTTTTAATAGTAAAAATATTTTTACTCGTGTTATTGAAGTTATACTTCTTTTGGGATGTTGGGAAAACAATACGAGAGTAAAATTTTTACGATGCGCGCGCACACCGACAGCCAAAAAGCGACATGATGAAGTTAGCTGCGTTCCTTTTACAAACAGTGAGTCGTGACATACGGGATGAAATCTTTAGCTATTTTTGTTCTGTTACGCCAAAGAAGTATAACTTCTTACGTTGCGTACATAAGTACACACATAAGTTCTTTTAGATACTAATATTAGAGTTGTTGGTCTAGTGGTTAGCGTGTTGGTGCATATTTGGAAGTCTTAGATTTGAGTTCTGGGTCGGGCCAATAAAGTTATTGGGAGTTTTTGTTGGGATATTGGCGGTATTACAAATCCGTGCTGACACAGAGCCTTCTGAATCACTTCTGGCTCGGTCTGGACCGTACAAGTATGCCCGCAGACACAGGTGCACTCTCTATTCCTGTCACTCTCATACCCCGGTTGTACGACACTGCCTCTACACGAGGATGTGACACACTTTCCCAACTCCAGACTGCTACTGATTATTTCATGACAGAAAAACCCGGGACTATTTTCACCCGACCCAGAATTCGAACCCAAGACTTCACGATCTACAGCCGTACATACTAGCAATTAGACCATCGAAGCAACGAACAATAATCGACTCGCCCTTTACATTCGCTTTCATTGTAGCTTATAATGTAACATGCCTATTTATAAATATGAAATATTTGTGTATCATGTATATTCAATATGAGTTCATGAACTTATTCATGACTAGCGACTCACCCTCGCTACGCTCCGGTTCGTCTCCATTTTCGCCCACTTAAGGGATGATTTCTGGGATAAAAAGTATCCTATGTCCTTCCCAGGGTCTCAAACTATCTTCTTAATAAATTTCATCTAAATCGGTTCAGTAGATACCGAGATTACCCACTACAACGTCACAAACTCACAATTCACAAACTTTACCTCTTTATAATATTAGTATAGACAAACAAACATTTATTCGATATCGCTATCTCCTACAGTTTTTATTTTAATGTGACTTGGTTTTTTCTAACAGTAGCTCTAGCTATGTGTTGGAAATCCAATAAAAATATCAAAAAAGTACTAGATAGCGACAAAAATGTCCTCACCGAATGAGCGCTCATTTGTATATTTGAGCGCGCTTTTAATTTTTTTTTGTGAAAACAACTTTAAGCCTTGCATTTAAGGTTCAATTTACTTTGTTATATTTATTTCAACTAGAACAATTACCTAAACACAATCGGTGACAGTTTTAAGAGAACTTTTGTATGGGATTGTGTGTCTATGTAGTACTTTTATAATCGATGGTCTTTAGCAATTCGACGACACGTTTGGCTTAGTTTATAGTGACCCTACTTGCTGTGCCAGCGCTTGCGGGTTCGAGTCCCGCTGGGGCATTCATTTGTGTGATGAACACGGATGTTTGTACGCCAGTCATGGGTGTTTATATTTATAATATGTATGTATTTAAAGTTATATATGTGTAGTGTATCAACTATCTGGTATCCATAACACAGGCCTCGTAGCTTACCATGGAACTAGATGGTGCTGTGTGTTAATGTCCTAACATATATTTTTTTTATTATAATATGTGTAAAAAAAAATATCTTATTCTATTCAATCAACCCCATAGATACGATCCGCGTTTCGGAGATGCATTCTGGAACAGCTCTCGTTACGGGATGCTGCATTATCTCCTCAACATGATGACATCGTGGGCGATTGTCTGCGATGTGTGGTACTTGCCCGCCATGCACCGAGAGCCTGATGAGAATGCAGTGGATTTTGCGAATAGAGTGAAAGCGGTGATTGCGAGGCGCGGGGGCTTAGTTGATTTGATGTGGTGAGTTGTGGGGCTGTTTTGATTTATATCTTAAAACACACACACACACACGCACAGTACACGTAGAGTTTTTAGTTTTTATAGTAAATATCTGTAAATATGTATGTTATATGGTTAGATTCTAGATCTTTGTATTAAGTATTATATGCGTTAGAAGGTAGCAGGTTCAAAATAGAAGAAATACATACATATTTAAATTTATTTTTTCTTAAACACATTCATATAAATTAATGTCTAACGATAGTGCTCCATACGATATTTTCATTTTTTTTTTTTAGGGATGGACAACTAAAACGTATGAAGGCAAAGAAGGAGTGGAGGGAGTTACAACAGGAAGAGTTTAGTAAAAGGTTAAAAGGTGAATAGAGAATGAGAAAGTGTTAAAAACACTGTAGTGTTAGATTCTTAAAGTATTTGGACCTTGGATTGTGTTGAATGATTGCGTCCGTCGAAATAATGAGAACGGTTTCGTCGGAAAATGGCGGCGTGTTTCGTCGGAAAATTGGATTGTTTAAAAATCCACGTATGTAATTTAAATTAGTTTTAGACATGTTGTAATAAATAGTTTCTGTATAATCGTAATTAATTGGAAAGGACTGAATTACAATTGTAATTTTTGTTAATTACAGAATCAATTGTTAATGAACGTATTATTATTACAATGCCATTATTAGCATTTATTTGTATATATTTTTCGGATATTTCAATGTTTTTTTTTAAAGTCTTTTTTTTTGTTTAGAATATGTTTTTATCGAATAACAATATATAAAATATTAAGTTTTCGTAATTAGTGCAATAATTTTAAAATTCATTTCATTACTTCAAATGTAAGCAAAAACATTTTTTGGTTATAATAAATCAAAGCCTTTATTTTAAAATAATTAAAATAAGTTTTTTTTATAAATATAAATGATGTTCGATTTTAAAATTTTTATACTGGTAATATTAACCTTGTTATTAAAAGTCCAAGACAAAAAACATAAACAGACCAAAATAATATGTATACGAAAATATTTTATATATTGTTTTCTTAATGGCAGCTTTTATATAGCATTTATTTAGATACGAAAACCTTTTTCGAACAAGATCTTAATTTAATCGTTAATTGTGTTTACAATTAATTGGTTAATGGAATGTTAAAATTACAATTAAATTTTAAATGGGATTATTGAATTTAATCAATCAATTAATTTATTCAATTAATTAAGTATCGTAAAAAATAGAGGGTTGAAATGTATTTGTAAAACCCTTAAAGCATTATAGAGGTGTACTATTTTAGACTCTTATACAATATATCCAATTTTTTCAATTTTTATATATTAATATTAATGATAATTATTTAATTTATTAAAGTTTTCTGTCATTAGTAATTTAATTTTTTTATTAATTTCATTTTGTTTTCTAATCTACAGAACAAATCGGTTAATTTAAAAAAAAAGAACAACGAAATTTGATTTTGTTAAACGGCTTTTAAATTTAATGCTACGTATTAGATTTCAAATAACCTGAACAAAGATGGTGGCTGTATATGTAATATGTACTTTGTATTTTGTATAAAAAAATAAAGTACAGATCTATAATTGAAAATAATATATTATTTCAATTTTCCCGCTTTTTTTATAATTTGATCCCACGGGATTGGCTATATATCTAGTCAAGCTTCATCACAATTTGTTGAGGCGTTAACAGTTGAAAGTTAAACAGTCATTTAATAGCATTTATAATATAAGTAAGGACTTAGGTTTTTATCTGACTGGTAGTTCCAGAGGTTAGCGCGTAGGTTGGTTTGTAACCAACAAAAAAACAAATGTCCGCAGTTTTATATGATCAGTATAGATGTGATATATAATAAATTTAATATATGAACCCAAACACAAAAAAATCTATCAAATTAAACATTTAAGGGAAACGGCTTAGCTCATCACAAACGTACATACAAACAAAATTTTAATTAAAATTTTATTATGAAAGTCCAGTTACTTCATATATACTCGTTTCGCTTGGATTCGTCCCTAGTTGATTCCCTATACAAACTTTCATCCCCATTTTCACCCTCTTAAGGGATGATTTCCAGGATAAAAACTATCCTATGTCCTTCCTAGGGTCTTAAACTATCTTCCTACAAAATTTCATCTAAATCGGTCCAGTAGTTTCGGATCTTATTCGATACAAACAAACAAAAAATTCTTTTCTGTTTATAATATTAGTACACATTACTTTTACTTAGCGTTTTGAAAAATCAACCCCTAGAAGGTTAAAATGAATGTCATTGTTAGATCTGACCCACAAATCTTTGTTCAACTTATTTCAAATTACATAACACATATTTAATTCCGCCATTTGCAATATTATATAAAAGAGCATTTTCTTTTTTAAATTCTTTACGAATTCTTTGGGGTTCTATCATTTTTTTTTTGGTGCGTGTTTTTACTTTTAATTAAAAACACATCGAACACAGCTTAGTAATTCCTGATGCTATGCATACAGATGTGACAGGAGTTTTTTATAATAACCAGTTTTTTGTTTATGTATTTATAATATCTTAGCTCCTAAAACTCATGGCGTGATTTTAGATAGCTTATAATTTGTCTCGATAAATCTATATGTATAATAAAATTGTAACTTAAGCCGGATCTGTGCATTAAATATTTTTTGGAAAATCTTATTGAAATAAACATTATTATCGATACAGAGGCCGAATCTATAGTTTTTAGAATTTTTGTCTGTCTGTCTGTCTGTTACCGCATCACGGAAAAACCACTGGAGGGATTTTGATGAAATTTGGTATGATGATAGCTGGTTATCCGGGTCAACATAAAGGATACTTTTTACTGCGGGAAAATGTCTCATTTCTGAGAAAAAATACAAAAACTCTAATGTAAGAGTATACTAATATGTAAAACCTAAGAATTTGGTTTTTGGTCATCTGAACGCGGGCGGAGCCGCGGGCAATGTTAGTAGGCTATAAAACTAAAGGTTTTTCTTCAAACTGGACGATTAGTCCCATGAGATAGGTGCGTTCAAACTCTTCAGCTTTATATATTAGTTTAGGTTTAGTTGAAGCAAGATTATATATCATTTGGGTTGGATTGAAGAGCGTGAGGTGTGTATGTATGTATGTATGTATGTATGTATGTACAGTTCACGTAAAACTATGTAATGTAGTTTAGTGAATTAGGACTCTAAATTATTATGTAGATACTATCAAGTGAAATATGTTTATATGATTATATATATGTTAAATTTTGTATGTCTGTATGTTTGTTACTCCTTCTCACTGTAACGGCTGGACTGATTTGTATGAAATTATATTAAATATATTTAATTAAAATTTAATAATATAATTAATATTAATGAATTAAAGTACACAGATAGATTGTCCTGGAGTAACACATAGGTTACTGTTAGGCATCTAGGATGCACTCGAGTGGAGTGAAACGGCTAACTTCACACACGACATTTAAATTTTACGCGAACTATACATACAAACATATATATATATATATATATATAAAAAAGGTAGCTCGATTGTATATCATATTATAGGAAGCCTGTAACAGCATAACAAATTGTATGAACGGTATAAAAATTGTATTGCAAATATGTATTGAAATTCGGTCTGTAAGTACACACTTATATCAAAAAAAAAAACAAAAACAAAAAAAGAACTTATATTTTGCATAAATAATTAAAATTTGCAGATATAAGTGTTGGCCTAGAGATTGTACGTTTTTTTAGCAATTTAAAGGAATAATTAATCTAACACCCTGTATAGCCCAGTTTCATAGAAACTGGTATGTACATTCATAATGATAATGGAGAAATTTCCTAGCATTTTTTACAAGTAAAAATCAAAATTTAAGTTGGAAATGACGAAGATAAAGCATTTTAAAGTCAGTCCGATGTGACGTCATATATTTTAATTTGTAATTTTTATTTTATTTTTCTTACAGACTCAGGAAACTTCTCCATTATCAAAGAATTACACAATAAATTTAGACTTTTTTAATTAGTCGTGTAATAATTGCATTAATTACAGCTGTAATTGTAAAATTACAGCTGTAATTGTAAAATTACAGCGTGCTGGTTATTTTCGATTACAAATTGTTTGTAATCAATTGGATTACAGACTAATTGCAAATAATTTGTAATATCGTATGATTAGAGTAAGATAAAGGGAGCGTAGAGGACTGTGAATGAAGCCAAATATAACAAAATATATTAATTTAATAATAGATAAATCGTGTTTTTATACTTACATCGTTATATATTTAAAAAAATATCCAGGTAAAAAGAACTAAAATTTAGTGGCATTTTTTTCTTATAAATCATACATTACGGATTCTTTTATCGTCTGATTCTATGAAAATGTTATATTTTTGTTGCTTATATACATATATATTTTCTTATATATATATATATATATATATATATATATATATATATATATTAGCTTATATATTAGAATCCATAATCAAAATTATTAGTCTCTAGTAAAACAAATATATCCCACGGAAACCATACATATTTCCGGAATAAAAAGTGCCTATGTGCTATTCCGGACTATAATCTATCTCTGTGCCAAATTTCATCCAGAACCGTTCAGCTGTTCTCGCCTGATTGAGTAACAAACATCCAAACATCCATCTAAACTTTCACATTTATAATATTAATAAGATAAAAACTGAGTTACAAAATTGGTCCTTTCAGATGTTTAATTATAATTTTTTTAATATTTTTCTATTGAGATTGAGATATTTTGCTTATATTACATCATACTGTGAATGGTATTTTATAAACAGACAATTATAATACCATTCGATGCTTCAATCACTAGTCTACATGCTTCGTTTATTTTATTAATTTATTTTCGATATGTATGTATGTATGTATTAACTGCCTCGGTGGTGTAGTGGCTAGCATGTACGGCTGCACACCCGGAGGTCCTGGGTTCGAGTCCCGGGTCGGGCCAAGTTTAGTTATTGAGTCTTCCTGTATAGTAAGTCTCAGTAACAGCCCGGAGTTGGGAAGTTGGCGGTGTTTCACCCCCGTGCCTCGGAGAGCACGTAAAGCCGTCGGTCCTGCGCCTTAACTCTCACCGGTCGTGTCGAGTGGTCGTCCCACCGGAGTATGAGAGTGACAGGAATAGAGAGTGCACGTTGTGTCTGCGCGTACACTTGTGCACTATAATATCTCCTGCGCAGTTGGCTAGTCTCAATGAGATTGGCCGCCGTGGCCGGAATCGGTCAGGAGAACATCATCATGTATGTATGTATGTATATGTAATGTTGAAATCAGTGATAAAATGTGATGAACGCTCTATTATATTTTTTTCTCTACGAAACATTTAATGGCTTAATTGTAATAATTTATTGTAATATTAATTGAATAAATAATTTATAATAATTTAATTGTTTTATTTGTGTCTCTGTGTGTGTATATATATATATATATATCAGAAGATTATCAAATATATATATGTGTGTGTGTGTGCGTGTGTTTATATATACTATAATAAATATAATACTTTCTTAGATTTACGCGAATATTTGACATTTTAAATAAAACTATCTTTTTGAATTTTGCTGATGATTGCTGTAAAGCATTCGAAACGGGAACTGAAAATCAAAATCTCAAAATAATCCGAAAATATAGTTTTATTTATAATATTCTGATAGAAAAAGACAGTAGATATTGTTGTTAATAAACTAGTATAAAATTAATTTTTTATAATTTTATAACCGTAATGCTTTTTCGTGAGATATGTGTTTATCTTTTGTTAATTTTACACAATAACAAATAATGTCAATAGATGGCGTTGTATGCTGCGACTTGTTATCGGAATTTGTTTTAAATTAAAAAAAAATACTAATCAGCAGATTATAATTGTGCAACTTAAAGGAAAAATTTATTATGAAAGTAGAATATTATATTTTATTTCATAATTATATTTTAATCGCATTATTGAAAATCTATATAAATACAAATGAATATCTGTATGTTAGTCTTCTACCTTCATATAAGCCATTGATCAGATCATGAATGATTTCTGATGGGTTTTTCAACATACGCCTGCGATAGTTTCTGGCGCAAAAAATGATTTTTCATTGAACGCGTGTCTTTTATGCGATACTAAACCATTCAAGCTAGTATTATAATAAAATGTATTTATTATCCATATTAAAATCTATGCACTCGATTTATGTTGGTAAAATCCACACATATTATAAATGTGAGTGTGTTTGTTTGTTTGTCCTTCTTTCACGTCGAAACGGAGTGACTTATTAGCGTGATTTTTTGTGTGGAGATAGTTGGAGGGCTGGAGAGTGACATAGGCTATCTTTTACCGCGGGAGATTAGCTCATTCCCACGGGAAAACACATAATAAAATCCAAAAAAATATTAATGATCAGAATTACTTGAAACTTAGTATTAATGCTCTTTAATACTATTAAATAAATACGTGTTTTAGCATTTTATTTCATCCACTGAGGGGGTAAAATGGGGGTAGAAAATTTGTATCGTACCTTCTTTTAAAATTTTTCTGTAGTTTTAGCGCGAGCGAAGCCACGGGTTCTGCTAGTACATTATACCTATTTAAATACTGCAGCTTTTAAATACTCGGTCAAAAAAACAACATTAATATATAATAATATTTATTCACATACAAATGTATACAAGCAAGTTATATCTTTTTTCTTTTACAGAACTTGAATACTCTTCTTTGAGAAAATATATGAAGTTAAAACTCTTCATTTTCGAAGGGATGGTACTTGTGTCCCAGGGACCTGGAATAAAACAAAATTTTAATTAATTTTTACCGTTTAGTATAGATTTCTCAGAGATGGGATATTTTCCCGCAGTAAAAAGTATCCTATATGTTGACCCGGATAACCAACTATCAATATAGCAAATTTCATCAAAATCTGTGCAGTGGTTTTCTCAAGATACGATCACAGACAGACAGAAAAAAATCTAAAAACTATAGATTCGGCCTCTGTATCGATAATAATGACAAACATATAATGTTATTGCTAAATTTCTCAAAAACAAGAATTATTTATATGAATTTTGTCTGTCTGTCTTTCTGTTTGTTCCAAGTAATCTTTGAAGTGGGTTACTGATTGTAATGGAAGTTTCACTGAAAGGAGTTTATTTAGCACTTTTCAATCTCCCACTGCTGGGCGTGGGTCACTACGAGGAGGATCAGGCCATAGTCCACCACGCTGGCCAAGTGCGGGCGGACTGAGCATGTCTTTCGAAAACTTGCTAAGTTCTCTCAGACATGCAGGTTTCCTCACGATGTTTTCCTTCACCGTAAGACAAGTGGTGATCATGTTGGAAATGATTCGCACATGAAAATATCAGAGGTGCGAGACCTGGGATTTGAACCTGCATCACTCGGTTTTTCGAGCACGGATATTCAACACTTACGCAGTCATCGGTACAAATCGTCCATTGCAGTCGAACGAGTCAATCTCCTTCATGTCAGCGGGCGACAGCGTGAAGTCGAACACGTTGAAGTTGGACTCTATACGAGATCTGGTCACCGATTTCGGTATCACGATGACTCCTCGATCTATTTGATATCTGGAATAAAAAATGAGATATTGTCAAAAAAATTTATGTTTTAAACATTGATATATAAAAAAAACGTGTGTATGTATGTACGCACGTAAAAAGTTATACTTCTTTGGCGTAACAGAACAAAAATAGCTAAAGATTTCATCCGTATGTCACAACTCTCTGTTTGTAAAAGGAACGCAGCTAACTTCATCATGTCGCTTTTTGGCTGTCGGTGCGCGCGCGCATCGTAAAAATTTTACTCTCATAATATTTTCCAAACGTCTCAAAAGAAGTATAATTTAAAAAATAGGTGCGTGAGACCGTGTTGAAGTAAAACTTCTTTGACAAATATCGCAATTAAAGCACGTTAATAAATAAATAAGGCATATTACAACCATATATTTATAGAATATCATATACGGAAAGAATATAATATTATATATTTGTTGGACAATAACAACGGTTACCATGGCAACGTGGCAATGTACTCTATCTCACTCTCTCGTCGGCTTAATCCTATATAGTTATGTGTTTGTCTCTTTCTAGTGTCGCATTTACGTTTCATCGAGTTTCAAATCACAACGATTCTAAAGAAATTTCACTTCAAAAGAATAATTAATTATTGTCAAAAAATATTATGATTTAAACATTGTTATTGTACAAAAACTGAAGATACACAAATATCGACTCAAAAGTGTCCTCAAAAAGAAGTGCACGATTCAAAATTGTGCGCTTTTTTCAAATATCTTTTGCTCATTGCTGTTCGTTTGAAAAAGTTCTTTATGTTGTGTGCGTACTGTCAGAGTCTGTCAGTACCGAAGCACTCACCTGATGAGCACCTGCGCGACAGTCTTGCCCAGCCTGTTGGCGATCTGCTTCAGTTTCTGATCGTCCATCAGCTGAGGCTCGTCAGGCTTCGCCCAGGGTCTGTCAGGCGAGCCCAGGGGCGAGTAGGCGGTGAGCTTGATGCCGCGGGCTTCGCAGAAGGCCTTGAGTTTCGATTGGTTGAGGTAGGGATGGCATTCCACCTGTGAGACGGATATATAGTGTTATAATTATGTATAATAATATTATAAAGAGGAATGATTTGTACTTTTGTATGTTTATAATGAATAAACTCGAAAACTACTGGACCGATTTAGATGAAATTTAGTAGGAAGATTGTTTGAGACCCTGGAAAGGACATAGGATGCATTTTATCCCGGAAACCATCCCTTAAGGGGGTAAAAATGGAGATGAAAGTTTGTATGGAAAATCAACCCAGGGACGAATTTATTTAGCACAGAATCCTAATTATTTTTCTGAAATAAAAAAGCTATCTGCCAAAGTCCCGTCAAAATCGATCCAGCCGTTTCGGAGATTAGCCAGAATAAACAGACAAAAATTATAAAAATCGCTTTTTTCTTTTAAGTACCATATACACTTTCATATGCATTCAGTAAAAAGCTGTTATTTTAACATCACAAACAGACAATTCAATTTTATATATATATATATATATATATATATATATATATATATATATATATATATATATATGTATCTGTATGAGTAATAACTAAAATGAATAAATTGTATAGTGTAGAATAACTTCAACTCACCTGATTAACAACAGGTTTCACACTCGCACTGTCCAACAATCTTTGTATCTGCTTCGAGTTGAAGTTGGACACCCCGATGCTCCTCACCAGACCCTCAGCCACGAGGGGTTCCATCGCCTTCCACGTGTCGATGTAGTCCACTTCGGAGAACTGGATCTTGCCTGACTCATCTGTTGGGAACAGCTCGCCATCCTCCTATAATTAACATGAAAATATGTTAAAAAAATCTAATAAAATATAATAAAATTCTGAGTCATATATACACATACAGATACAGAGGCCGATTCTATTATTTTTTTGTCTATCTGGCTGTAACGGCACCACGGAAAAACTACTGTAGGGATTTTGATAAAAATTTGACATGATGATAGTTGGTTATCCGGGTCAACATATAGGATACTTTTTACTGCGGGCAAATATCTCATCTCTGAGAAATCTATACTAAACGTTAAAACACTAGTTATGATATTAAAAAAATTAAATCCACTCTCAGAGGTGGAATCTTGTATCTGTGTACTAAATCTCATTCCAACCAGCCCAGTCTTTTCAGCGTGGGGGAGTGACAAACAGGCATACATACAAACTTTCACATATGTATATAATAGCAGTCCAATTCAATCAATCTAAATAAAAATATCGGATATTTTAGCAGATTTATTGTGAATTTTGAATTTCCGAATGCTTTACAGCAAACATAGCCATGGGAGAGACAGTCAATCTCCGAAAAATGTCAGAAAAAATCCGAAAAGATCCGTTTAAATTTAAAATGTTAAATATTTGGGTATTGTGTCAACCAATCTAACAAAGTATTGTGTCAACCAACCTTATATGCCTGGGGCCAGTGTATGAGGTACAAGTCTAAGTATTTCAAGTTCAGATTCTTGAGGGTCTGGAGTAAAATACCTCTCACCAGGTCCGGGCGGTGGAAGGTGTTCCAGAGCTTGGAGGTGATGAAGAGGTCCTCCCTAGTTGGGAATATAAGGTGGTAGGTTAGATTATATAGATACTAGCAGAACCCCCGGCTTTGCTTGCACTAAAACTACAAAAAAATCTCTGAAAAGGTAGGTTTCATACAAACTTTTATCCCCTATTTTACACTTATGGGATGAATTTCAAAAAATCCTAAAACACTTTTATTTAGTTGTGTTGAAGAGCATTAATACCATGTTTCAAGTAATTCTGATCATAATTATTTGTTTCGGTTGTATTAAAGGTGCTTTCTCATGGGAATGAGATAATCTCCATTCAAAAAATCACGCCAATCAAGTCACTGTTTTGACGTGAAAGAAGGACAAACAAACACACTTTCACATTTATAATATTAGTACGGATTTGGGATTTCTTAGGTAAGGGCCTGTAACATTCCAGAGACATCTTGATATGTCGGGTTTAAACTAGTTAAGGCATTTTTAATCCCAAAAAGCCTCTTTGTTCAAAATTAAGCCAATACACGTATTCTATTGCTATTTGCAAGACAAATTTAAAAAAAAAGAAAAAAAAAGGTTTTACTTTTTAAGTTTATCTATATATCTTTTCCGAAAAAAAAACACTCTTATAAAAAAAACGCCAAAGCTCTTACATACATAATAAGTATGGAAAAAAACTACTATTCATTTTTGTGATAAGTACAAATGTTTGTACTCCGGTCATGGATGTTTATATTTATAATATGTATGTATTTAAAGTTATATATGTGTAGTGTATCAACTATCTGGTATCCATAACACAAGCCTCACTCGACTTCACCTTGGACCAGCAGTCTTTTTGAGACCATCCTCCCATCTCAGATACTGGATGCCACAACTTCTTTTCCCGTTTCTCGGGTACCAGTCTGTCACTGCTTTGGTCCATTTTCCTTGGTTACCAAGCATCATATAAACAAATAAAGAAATATGTTGTGACATTAACACACAGCACCATCTAGTTCCATGGTAAGCTACGAGGCTTGTGTTATGGATATCAGATAGTTGATACACTACACATATATAACTTTAAATACATTCATATTATAAATATAAACACCCATGACTGGAGTACAAACATTCATGCTCATAACATGAATCCCCCCAGCTGGACTCGAACCCGCGACCGCTGGCACAGCAAGTAGGGTTTTGAGCTTCGCTATTGGGTCACTACAAACTGAGCCAAGCGTGTCGTCATATGGCCAGTAATTGTTACATTTATGTACAGTGACATAAAAAAAAAAAATGTGCAATTCACACATCGTAGAAGTGAAACTTCAGAAAATGATATGAATATAGAGTATCAGGAGTAGGATAATCATAAGGATTTTTTTATATTATTTTTACCAAGTTTAAAAGTTATTTTACATTTTATTTGACATAAATATAAACATTACATAATAATCAGTAATGAATTTTATTATTTTTCACTTCCTGTGTAATGTATTCTATCAAATAACAACGGTTACCATGACAACGGTTACCATGGCATCATCGCAATGTATTCTATCTCATTCTATCGCCGGCTTAATCCTATAGATTTATATGTTTGTCTCTTTTTACTGTCGCATTTCCGTTGCATCGAGTTTCAAATCACAACGATTCTAAAGAAGTTTCACTTCAAAAATTGCACCTATATTTTATATCAGCAATCTCACCTCTTAACAACCCCAGAAGCGATCTTCTCAGTGACAGCCTCTCCCACCTCCTTCTCATTGCCATATATATACGCACAATCAATATGTCTGTAGCCGATGTCTATAGCATCCTTCACAGCTTGGGTCACTTCACCAGGTTTGGACTGAAAAGTCATAATAATTAAAGTTATTTAAAACAAAAGCATTTATTAAAAGAAATATTATATTGCCTTCAATTTTCTCTTAATAGTTGTAATTTTTGTTTTTTTTATGTGCAATAAAGAGTATATATATTATATTTTAGCGCTAAAGACTTACTGTTACTTCAGTCGAGTGCATCCTTACATAATTTTGTTTAATATACCATATTCAATTGTAAAACTTATTAGAATTATAAAAATGTTAAAAATTAAAATTAACAAACATTGTAAGGTACTTTGGCACCATTTTTAAATTTTTAGAATTCATTTTGTGGGTAGGCTGTCTGTAACAACTATATAATGCTTTCGAGACATCTAAAACCTATGACTCTCCTGTGACCGTGATTGCTGTAAAGCATTCGAAACGTCGGTAATCAAAAATCAAAATGAATCCATGAAAAAATCCAAAAAGATAATTTTATGTTAAAATAATTTTGTTTAGTTTAAGTACTTTAGTCAAAAGTAATAAAATTTAAACAGATAATAAACTATAATGAGCACTCATTTAGGTACAGATAAGAACTTCTTTTTCAGTCTAAAAATACTTACTGTTTTTTAGTATACAGATTACAGACTAGTACAAAACAATATATAAATATTATAAATGTGAAAGTGTTTGTTTGTTTGTCCTTCTTTCACATTGAAACAGAGTGACGCATTAGCATGATTTTTTGTATAGAGATAGTTGGAGGGCTGAATAGTGACATAGGCTACTTTTGACCGCATGAGATTATCTAATTCCCACGGGAAATCATGTTACAATTCAATCTAAAAAAAAATTATGATCAGAATTACTTGAAACTTGGTACTAATGCTGTTTAATAAAATTAAAAAAAATATATGTTTTACAATTTTTCAAAATTCATCCTATAAGGAAGTAAAATAGAGGATAAAAATTTGTATGAACCTATCTTTTTAGAGATCTTTTTGTATTTTTAGCGCGAGCGAAGCCGTGGGTTCTGCTAGTACAAATATATAAGTAGGTATAATCATATAATGTGTCACGCAATATGTTAATGTTACATTTACTTTAATCAGAACCTTATTTGTGTATGATAAAGATAGTTTTTGCTTGTATTATTTTGTTTGGTATACTAGTTTACCTTGCAGCTTGATTATTCATGTACATTATTGCACTATCTAGTAATTATTATGTGTAATTATCTTTTATTATGCAAGTTTTGACCCACTTAAAAAAGAGGAGATGCTGTATTTAGTTGTATTAGCATATATTTTTTTCAATTGAGTTATCAAGGGTTGTCTGAAATATTTAAATAAAAATATACCCCCGATGGATGTATAATCGCTGAAGTGCAATTTTGAAGTCAATCTACTCTTTTTTTTTAAGAGTAAGTACTTATTTCTCAATGTAAGACACAGTTAATCTTATATTACATTTTTCTAGTAATATATATTCTAGTAATATATTAATTTAATGATATTTTTTAATTTATTATTTAAAATAAAAAAAATATAGATAAAGTTAAATCCTACCTTCCATGTCCCAATTCCTAATATCGGGCATTCATTACCGTTCTCTAACTTTACACACGGCACTTTTGAAGCCATTTCAATAAAAATCGAATGATAACTACAATATGTTATTGCTTTGCAGATGACGAACCCCAGTTTATAACTATACTCTTTGTGACGAACTATAAATTATAATCTCAAATCTCGTCGGCCGGCGGAATTTATTAACGGTTTGACATTTTGAACTTTGACATTGACAATAAATATGCGTTCGTAAACAATAAAAATTGGTTGACTTAATTCAAAAAAGTATGTATATTATATGTTCTTAAAAATATTTTTATTGATACCAATGTAAACGTTTTAGATTACATTTTTAGGACTAATCCATGTACATGTAAGTCTTTATTTAACATTATTATAAGTTAACATTTTTTGAATATAAACTATAAACTTCTTGATAAACTTTTTGGCTTTAATAAGTTGTTGTCTAAGTTCCCGAGTTCTGAATATGATTCTAATAAGGTATAACAATAATTGAATTTACAATATTATATCATCATAAATATATCTATATTGGTTTTTTTTATCGACTACAAAAAGGAGAAGAAGTACAGTAAGCTTTTTTGGTATTGTGACGCAATATATATTTTTTTTGAATAAATTATGTCTAACCCTAAAGTGAAATCAATTTTTTAAAAGAAATAAATTATAAAAACCGATGATATATTTTTTATATTCTGTTTCATCAATATTTCGATATCTAAAGGATTATGATTCGCTCTCCTATAAAAGTAATATTTTATAGATATGACCCAAGGACTTCTCCATCATCTTATGTCGATTCAAAGTTTTCCAAACAACAAACAATAAATAATCTATATCTGAGAATTAGATAACAGCATCGTTACATATAACTTGATAATATAACTTTATACTTTATAATGTGATATTCTTAATAGATTTGTTGCCAGCGGCTTTGGAGCTTTATAAGATAAAAGATTAAAGTTAATACAAGTTAAACCGATATACCTATATGACTGACATATCTATTTACATCTTTATCTATTGAGTGAAGGGAAAATAATGATATTACTTTTATCTGCTTATAGTTTGCTAGGTGCGTTTATTAATACGCTTTGATTAGCTTTACTTGTCTTACTAGGTAATGAAATTATAAAACGATTTTAGTCTTCTTCAAATTGTATTATTCGTTTAAAACTTTTGATTCAATTTTCTTAATGTGTATTCAGCACTTTTTAACGTCCCACTAGTGTTGTGCACAGGCCTCCCTTCAATACAAGAGGGATTTGGCCATAATTTTTATTAGTCCATAGCCAGGCGGACTGAGCATGTCTTGCGACTTGCTAGGTTCTCTCTGACACCACGGTTTCCTCACGATATTTTCCTTCACCGTAAGACAAGTGATAATCATGTTGGAAATTATTCGCACATGAAACTATCATAGTTGCTATACCTGGGATTTGAACCCGCGTCAACTCGGTTTTCCAAGCGAGCGCGTTACCACTGGCCTACCCTTGCCAATTTTCTTTGTAGCAGTTTAAAATCATACCATTTAAGCACAGATTAATCGGCTAATGTAAGGTGAGCCAATGAACGGAGATGACACAAGATTAGAGGAAAATCAGGGTCTTAAACTTGACATCATCGAGTATATAGTAATGTTGATATTTGATGGACTCAGGAGATATTTATCGGGACTGTTTTTGAATTGTTATGGCGATGTCACTCATCGATATCGACTATACATAAGACTTGTTCAAAAGCGACACTCAGTATTTTAAAACTATTATTTTTTGGTGTTTAACCACTATGCCTCGGAAATCACGTAAAGCCGTCGATCTTACGCAGTTGGCTAATAGAAATAGGAAGATGTCACCAAGTAGGATGGATGGAAAGGCATAGTAGTAAAATACTTTTAACTTTTTAAAACACCTCGGCTTGTTAAGTACTATAGGTATATTTTTACCAATTCTATCTTAAAATAATTGGTAAAGTAATTAAAAGCACAGACATGTATAATATACAAGTTGTTTGTGTGAATTTTTAAAAGGTAATCCCAGTAACTCTTTGGTTTGACCTATACTCAAACGCTTCTTTACAATCAAAACCTTACAACGCAACAAAACCTCTAAATCAGTGAGCATATAAAATTAACTATAAACCTTCATTCTAAAATGCAAATAGTAAGAAATATATCATAGATAAGTATATAATTTAAGTACTACTCCGAAAAAATGTCGAGGAAGGCTAATATTTTCCATTATTTTTAAAGTTCTTAGAAACAAGTTTCCAAAAAAACTCTTCAACTGCAGTAAAAAAATAATCAAGAATATTATTTAACTTAGAAGAAACTACTTACTTTCCACGTCCCTAGGCCCAATTGTGGAATACTTTTGCCATTGTTAAATTTAATAGTTGGTACTTTTGCAGCCATGTTTTCGCGCGCTCCCGCCAAATGTCACACCGGTACTGACTGAATTGTTATAAATTATCTTGAACTCTGGAGGGTTATCATTTTAAAATGTAAATTGTTGATATGATACAAGTGAAAATAAATAGTTTTTACATATTATTTAATATGTTATGTCATCACTTCTTTACATGTGGCGTGTGTACAACGAAGATCATAAGTTCAATTCTCGAACGGTACCTAATATTAATATTGTATGTATGTATTCAGCCCTTTTTAACGTCCCACTACTGGGGGTAGGTCTCCCTTCAATACGAGGGGGATCAGGCCATAGTTCACCACACTGGCCAACTGCGGGTTGGCGGACTTCACGTCTTTCGAAAACTTGCTAGGTTCTCTAAGACATGCAGGTTTCCTCACGATGTTTCTCCTTCACCGCTACCACTGCCCTTTTTTAATATTGTATTAATTACACAAATTTTAAGAATAAGAAAACAGAAAGTCTATTCCTTAAACTAAAGTCGATAATAAGATATGGTACCTAATATTTTTGCTACATGCACTTAAATGTATGACTTATCTAATTTACTACTTATTTATTATACTAGCGACTCAGTTCGTCCCTAGTTACGTTTTCACGTTAAGCGCAGATATGAATTATAAGATATTTTCCCGCAGTAAAATGTATCCTATATGATGACCCGGATAACTAGCTATGATCATACTAAATTTCATCAAAATCCCTCCAGTGGATTTTCCGTGATACGGTCACAGACAAACAGACAGACAAAAAGTCTAAAAACTATAGATTCGGCCTATGTATCGATAATAATGACTATTTCAATAAGATTTTCCAAAAAATATTTAATGTACAGATTCGGCTTAGTTACAATTTTATTATATGTATAGAAGAACATAATTACGAAATAAAACAGTTAAAAAGTAGGCCAACATATCTATTACCTTTTATTTGAAGAGTCACTTATTGAAAGATAACCATAAAATTATCGCTGTCGGTAAAATTGTAGGTACTTGAATATTAACAACAATTTATACTCCTGATAACAGAATAAGGCCTTTTCCATACTAACACGGTCTTCGTGTAGTCATTGATAGAGTTATAAGGTGCATTTCACACAATTTCCACGGCGGCTAATCTCATTGACACTAACCCACTACAGGAGATATTAAAGTGCACATGTGCATTTTGTATTCCTTCCAATATAAAAACATCCCTGTTCCCAACTGTTACTTAGGATAATGTGAAAAAAAAACAATAGCTGTACTTGGCCCGACTCGGGACTCGAACCCAGGACCTCCCGATGTGCAGCCGTACATGCTAGACCAACGAGAAACTACTGTAATAACGTCATGTTATGGGATCCTGGGTTAGAGTTTCAGGTCGGGCCATCTATACATATAATAAAATTGTAACTAAGCCGAATCTGTACATTAAATATTTTTTGGAAATTCTTATTGCAATAGACATTATTATCGATACAGAGGCCGAATCTATAGTTTTTAGAATTTTTGTCTGTCTGTTACCGCATCACGGAAAAACCACTATAAGGATTTTAATGAAATTTGGTATAATGATAGCTGGTTATCCGGTTCAACATATAGGATACTTTCTACCGCGAGAAAGTATCTCATTTTTGAGAAAAAATACATAAACTGCAATGTAAGAGTATACAAATATGTAAAACCTAAGAATTTGGTTTTTGGTCATCTGAACGCGGGCGGAGCCGCGGGCAATGCTAGTATTTATATATTGAGTATTTCTGTCATAAGAATTTCTAGAAGTCAATAAATTCTCAGTAACAGCCCAGAGTTCAGAAGATGGTGTTTCATCCCCATGCCTTGGAGAGTACGTAAAGCTGTCGGTGTATAGAAATACTTTACTAGACCGAGAACGGACTGTGATCGGCACTATAGTGTGGAGCGGCCCTAAAAATAAAATTATTCGATATCTCCCTAAGTTTTCGAGATATCGATACTCAAAAAACGAAAAAAAAATTTTTTTTGTTACAGAATTCGATATTTTATTAAAAGAAAAAATAACAATATTTTTTTCGATATCTCGAATAGTTTTCGAGACAATACATTGTTAGCATCGAGCTGACCTGATGATGGTCGGAGAAGGTGAATAGTGGAACTCTTCGATGGCTACAAAAGCCTTCGAATTTGGGCACGTTTGATTCGTTTGACGAGTCCCACACAGATACACAGTGGTTAACATTTTTTTTATATTTTAAAATCAATTATAAAGTTTATGTACAATTTTTGCCTTTTCGGCTTGTGGAAATCGGCAGATTATTGAATTGCACACTTTTCAGGATGTAACTAGCCTACCATACCTTAATCTGACGGTTTCAAGTATTTGTATCTTATCAAAATATTTTTTAAATATTTCGATCGGGTGCTCTAGACGCGCGCCCTCATATGATGATGTTCTCCTAGCCGATCCCGGCTACGGCGGCCAATCTCATTGAGATTAGCCAACTGCGCGGTAGATATTATAGTGCTCAAGTGTACGCGCAGACACAACGTGCACTCTCTATTCCTGTCACTCTCATACTCCGGTGGGACGACCACTCGACACGACCGGTGAGTGTCGGCGCAGGACCGACGGCTTTACGTGCTCTCCGAGGCACGGGGGTGAGATACCGCCAACTTCCCAACTCCGGGCTGTTACTGAGACTTACTATAGAGAAAGAATCAATAACTAAAGTTGGCCCGACCCGGGACTCGAACCCAGGACCTCCTGGTATGCAGCCGTACATGTTAGCCACTACACCACTGAGGCAGTTTAAGTGTAGAGAAGTAAAAATAGTGGAGGTACTCAACAGAGTGCAAGGTATCCCCCTTATGTTAATCTGCTGCGCTTGAGTAACTCCAAAAATCCCCTCTTGGGCTCCCCTACTAACTGCCTTACTCAGGCACTGATAATTTTCTTCGCTGGTTTGGGAAACCGAGTGAAGCGGGTTCAAACCCCGGATCTCACATCTCTGATATTCTCATGTGCGAATCATTTCCACTGATCTCACAACTTGTCTTACGGTGAAAAAAGGATAAGAGCTTTCCCATATATATTATAGTGTTTTTAGCAAAATCCACAGACTATATTAGATTATAACAAATAAAACCAATAATGAGTTAAAAATAATTTATTGGAATACAAAAAAATCTCTCAACATTAAATATTTTATACCTCGCTTACTCTTACAACTAAAGTTACATGTAACATGCACATACATACATACATACATATCTCATTTCACAATATTATATAATAATAAAATTTGTTTGTTTGTTAGCATGTGCATATAACGATTTTTACTGGAGCATTTTTAAAACCTTTATATACATGTTCAGGAAATATATGAAATTATTTCCATGAAAAAAAAAAACTTTTTATTTTCATAAATTTAAGTTGAATTTAAAATTTAAATTTTATAATTTTAAATTTAATTAAAATTTTATAATATCTAGCCACGTAATATTATTAATGCGAGAGTCAGTCAAAAAGTATCCCATGTCCTTCCCAAGGTCTCAAACTATCTCTGTACCAAATATCATCTAAATCGGTTCAGCGGATCAATCGTGAAAAGGCAACAGACAGACAAACAGAGTTACATTCGCATTTATAATATTAGTATATATCTACCACACAAGCAAATCTGTTGTCAGAAACAAGTTTTAACATAAATTTATATTTTATATTAGGTTATATTCTGTACTCACAGACTCAATGTAATGAGTCAAACTCCCATATAAAAAAATATAAAAAAAACACTTAAAAAAATGTACATACATACATATATACATACATACATATAAATACATGTTACACGTAACACAAAACATATCTCACTTCTTGAAGCTAAATAATAAATAAACAGCTGTCATTTTAATTTACAGTACAGAATATCTAATACTTCCATATTGCTAGTCTCTTGTTGTGTGAGAGAGACAACATGTCACATATGGTATGAGTGAAAGAGAAGGCGCTATACAAAGTCTTGCTGGTCTCTTGTTGTGTGAGAGAGACAACATGTCACATATGGTATGAGTGAAGGAGACGGCACTATACAAAGCCTTGCTAGTTGTAAAACTGCCAGTCTCTTGTTGTATGAGAGAGACAATATGTCACATATGGTACGAGTGAAAGAGACAACGCTATACGAAGCCTGTCTTGGCAGATTTTTAAAAAGAGATATAGCACATATTTTTTTAATAAATAGAGTGGAATTTTTTAGTTTTTTTTTAAGTCGGTATATGTTTGTATTTAAAAAAAAAACTAGTGATACAGTACATATTAGACTGTGTAGAAGTGATTTTTTAATTATGCATAGATTATATTTTATTGTTAGAACGTTTTAAAATGTTAGCTTTTTAAATTGCTAAGTACAGGATTTATTTCAATTTTAACAGAAAAAAAATAGTTTACTCAGAAAATATGCTTAAATAGAAAATTGCAAAAATGCAAAAAAAAAATTTATTTTCAATCACATCTATATTGACTTCAATAAGGTCCCGCCTTCATTTAGCTTCTTTTTTTTCATCTTTCCACAAACATCCGCCATTTTTAATCGCACATACAGACAAACAGTACAAAACAATTGAAACTAAAGTCTTTATTTAGAAGCCATTTAAATACTTTATATAAATATAAACAATATAAGCTATGATAACTCTTAATATTACTGAAGTCGATATAGGGTTGCCATGAAATTTTCAAACGTAAAAAAAGTATACATAATTTAAAGTAAAGATGCAGTGACTGTTTTTTTAAACATTAGATAACCATTACAAAAAAATCTTCAGCTCAAAAAAATTTCATTAAATAAATTAAAAAAAAAAAGATTTTTTATACACTTATTTCTGGCTACCCCATGAATTAATGTAAATTACAGACATTCAAATTTATTTCTTTCAAAGGTAATATTTACTAAGCAATTGTCAGCAAGCTGCGCGAGTAGTAATTTTATTTTTATTCAACTACAAAAAGGAGTATTTTTAATATTTTCTTAAGATTTACGGGAATATTTAACATAATAAATAAAACTATCTTTTCGCGGATTTATTTTGATTTTAGTTTCCTGACATTTCGAATGTTTTACAGCATTAAAAAAAAACTAAATAAACCGCGATAAAATCCGAAAAGATAGTTTTATTTAAAAGTAGTATTTTTGTGTGCAATCATTCGATTGTCACATATAATTTTCAAATAATATTGCCACAATCAAAACATTAAAAATGATTTTATATCTTTTTAAATATATAGTAAAAAAAAACTGATTCTTATAATTTTTTTTATAAAACAATGTTATCTATTGCACAAAAAAAAATCACGCATACCTATTGGAAATACAAGCAACTAACAACAAATACTTATAAATACCTCCTTTTAAAGAACAAATTCGAATGGCAGCACTGATCTAGAAAGTCTTGCGATGCACCGCTCTATGACCCTCTTCATCGTACTCACGCTTGGTCACCCACATCTTGCGGAATGTGTCGAGTGAGGCGAGAATCGAACCCCCTATCCACGTTGAGTATAACCGCTCTTGGGGCGCTGAGATCTAAAATAAAGAAAAAAGTTGTGGGCTAGCTATAATCTATGTATACATATAATAAAATATTTTTTATAATATTTTTTGGAGAATCTTATTAAAATTAGAATAATATAACAGAAAACTACTGGACAGATTTTGATGAAATATGGTATGACGATAGCTGGTTATCCGGGTCAACATATAGGATACTTTATAATGCCGGAAAATATCTCATCTCTGAGAAATCTATACTAAACGTTAATATTAAATATTGTGTTAATATAAAATACAAATATTAAATCCCATAATATTAAATGAGCAAGCAATTCTCGTGTATATTCTTGTATCTGGATCTACTGAACTGATTTAGATGAAATTTGGTAAAAAGATAGTTTGAGACCCTGGGAAGGACATAGGATACTTTTTATCCCGATGAAAAATTTGTATTGGAAAGCAAGCTAGAGACCAACCAAAGCGAAGCAAGTCGCTAGTATAAATTGACCCACTCAAAAGTGCTTGTAAAAATCTATTTGAATAAAGTATATATTGATTTGGTGTGTGTGTGTGTGTGTGTGTCAGCGTACCCTTATCTTCATATCCTTGGGTGCAAGGCGTCGTATTTCTGCCAGAAGACGGTCTCCGAAGCCACGGAACAGTGTGGAGCCACCGCTAAGCACGATGTTCTGGTACAGCACCTTGCGCAGATCCATATCAGACTTCTGGATGGCGAACATCAGCACCTCGTGCAGACCTGGAGATATAAAGACGTCAGACGGATTTACACATAAGGATATAAGCCGGGGACAATATCTACAGTAATAAAATATCCAGTTTACCTTCACATTCTTCACCGATGAGATCAGGCCTGAACAGTACTTCTGGAGCCCTAAACCTTGCTGGGCCGATCTGAAAAATAATAATTTTTAATGTATATATAAATAATACAAATATGTATATAAAATTAAAGAGTCTGTTTGTAATTTCAAAACAACAGCTTTACACTAAATACATAATATGAATCTGATAGTACATACAGTAGTTATAAGGAAAACACAATTTTTTAAATCTCATATATCTGTATTATTAAGTTAGATTTTGTACAGGGGCGACATAGTCAAAGACATGACTCAAACTCCCATGTTAAAAAAAATAAAGAATAAAAAAAAAATCATATATCTGTTTGTTCCTGCTAATCTCCGAAACGGCTGAACCGATTTTGACGGGACTTTCACATGCACATAGCTGATGTTATAAGAAGTAACTTAGGCGACTTTAATTTTAGAAAAAGAATCAGGGCTTCACACGAAAAAAAAGTTTACCCAAGAAATTGTAAACAAATCGGCGTAACTAAATCGCCAGTATTTTAGAAACTGAAAAGTCTCTAGGTTTTTTTTTTTAGTTTTACAATTAACTCGTTTTAATTTTTTTTTTAGCGCGAGCTTAATTCTTTTTCTAAAATAAAAGTCGCCCAAGTTACTACTTATAACATAAGCTATCTGCCAGTGAAAGTCCCGTAAAAATCGGTCAAGCCGTTTCGGAGATTAGTCGCAACAAACATACAGACAAACGGACAGGCAATAATGTTAAAAATTGAGTTTTTCTTGTAAGTACCATATATAATGCCACAATATGCATTTAGTAAAGCTTTCATTTTGACATTACAGACACTTCATTTTTATTTATCTGTATAGATTAATTTCAGCATTCAATTTCATTCTAAAAAAATATACAATAAAACAAATCCTCACCTCAAGCTGTGTACCATCAGGTAATGTATATTGAGCCCTCTCCGAGTCCAGGGTTTCTTCCTTCAGAGGGTTCGGTGAGAGGTAGCAGGCCCTCTCTTTGATCGCTTTCACTATTTCCAGTTCTGCTGATGTACGGAGGTTAACACCCTCTTTACGGAGCAGAAGCCTAGAAATAAAAAAATATTATAATGTATATCTATAAGAATTTTGGACGACAAGTTTGGCTCAGTTTGTAATGACCCTACTTGCTGTGCCAGCGGTCGCAGGTTCAAGTCCCACTGGGGGTACACATTTGTGTGATGAGCACGAATGTTTGTACTCTTTATGTATTTAAAGTTATATATGTGTAGTGTATCAACTATCTGGTATCCATAACACAAGCCTCGTAGCTTACCATGGAACTAGATGATGCTGTTTGGTAATGTACCAACACATATTTAAAAAATTACTGCATCACAACAAAGGGAACTATTTATTATATAATGTATGTATATATATATAATAAACACTATTTTATTTTCATAATTTAGACCCCTCCCTCCCCCTAAGTGAGATTTGGTGAACTCCTCCTGCCCCTCAAGTGAGATTTAATGAGATTTTACTGAGCCCCCAACAATTATAACAAAAATTATATATTATTGCTGTTGATTATATCATACCTACCAAGCATCCACAAATTAAAAAAAAAAATTCCTTTTAACCCTTACCTCAAATACCTGGTGACATCCCTCCCAGCAACATCAACCCTCATGATGCTGTGGGGCATCGCGAACCCCTCGTATATCGGCACCGAGTGGGTCACTCCATCCCCAGAGTCCAACACCACACCGGTTGTGCGACCGGTTGCATATCTGGAAAATGTGTTTTTTTATTTAGGAAACAAACAATACAATGCAATACAATTAAAAACAAAACATCTATACATATAATAAAATACTGAGTTGAATCTGCACATTAAATATTTTTTGGAAAATCTTATTGAAATAAACATTATTATCAATACAGAGCCCGAATCTTTGGTTTTTAGAATTTTTGTCGGTCTGTCTGTTACCACATCACGGAAAAATCACTGGAGGGATTTTGATAAAATTTGGTATGATGATAGCTGGTTATCCGGGTCAACATATACTCTATAAGATTGGCCGCAGAGACCAAAATCTGTCAAAATTCACCTAATCATTATACAAAAACATGATAAAAAAAAGGAGTGTGTGTGTGTGTGTGTGAAATTCACATTCACACATGGTAGAAGTGAAACTTCAGAAAAGTAATCGACGAGAGAATGAGATCAATATAGAGTATGAGGAGTAGGATTGTAAGGTTTAGTTTTTTTTTTACCAAGTTTAAAAGTTATTAACCATTTTATTTGACATAAATATACATTATATATTTTTCACCTCCTGTGTAATGTATTCTATCTCAAATAATAAAATAAGGCATTTTACAATCATATATTTATAGAATATCATATACGGAAAGAATATAATATTATATATTTGTCAACAACGGTTACCATGGCAACATGCCAATGTACTCTATCTCACTCTCTCGCCGGCTTGATCCTATATAATTATGTGTTTGTCTCTTTTTAGTGTCGCATTTCCGTTTCATCGAGTTTCAAATCACGACTCTAAAGAAGTTTCACTTCAATAAAATAGGAAAAGGACTTACAAACTCAGCACAGCCTGCATGGACAAAAATAAAGCTGGCACGTTGAACGTCTCGAAGAACACTTCCGCCGCCTTCTCCCTGTTGCGGCGAGGGTTTAGGGGAGCTTCAGTTAGAAGAACTGGATGTTCCTCCGAGAAGGTCGATAGTTGGTCCTGGAAATTAAGAAAGGGGTGTCAACTTTAAATATTTTTTGTATTTAATTAAGTATATATAAATAAAGGCAGTGGTAGCCCAGTGGTAACGCGCTCGCTTGGGAAACCGAGTGAAGCGAGTTCAAATCCCGGGTCTCACATCTCTGATATTTTCATGTGCGAATCATTTCCAACATGATTACCACTTGCCTTACGGTGAAGGAAAACATCGTGAGGAAACCTGCACGTCTGAGAGAACCTAACAAGTTTTCGAAAGACATGCTCAGTCCGCCCGCACTTGGCCAGCGTGGTGGACTATGGCCTGATCCCCCTCGTATTGAAGGGTGGCCCGTGCCCAGCATTGGGACATTAAAAAAAAAGGGCTGAATAAAATAGATAGAAGTATAAATATGCAATATTAATAATATTATATTATACATCTATATATATAAAGGGCAAAAGTCGTCGTTTTAGTGTCGCATTTCCGTTTCATAGAGTTTCAAATCACAACGATTCTAAAGAGGTTTCACGTCAAAAAAAAAAATAAAGCTATTACTAACCTTGCTATATATATAATTCCACACCCTCTCCATATCATTCCAATCTGTCACGATGCCGTGTTCCATAGGATATTTAATGCTTAGAAGGCCTCTGTGTTCTTCGGCTCTTGGCCCTACGAAAAGTTCGCCTTCTAACGCACCCGCCATAACACGTACGTGTTTTGGACGACCGATACTGTGGAAAAGAAGAATTTATAAAAAAAACGTGTGTGTGCGTGTGTGTACTTATGTACGCACGTAAGAAGGTATATTTCTTTGGCGTAACAGAACAAAAATAGCTAAAGATTTCATCCCGTATGTCACATCTCTGTGTTTGTAAAAGGAATGCAGCTAACTTCGTCATGTCGCTTTTTGGCTGTCGGTGTGAGCGCACATCGTAAAAATTTTACTCCTATTTTTTTCCAAACGTGCCAAAAGAAGTATTAACTTCAAAAAAAAACAGCTATACTTTAGTACAGCGGTTCTCAAATGATCTCAAAGATAGATTATAGTCTGATGAACCCAAACAAAGCTAGGTTAAGAGACTAGTGTCCCATATACTAAACTTATTCCAAAAAAACAATTTATAAGATATAAAATACAGCCCCTTTCTAAGCCTCCCCTAGTTGCATTTGGGCAAGGGTGGATTGATGAACTAAAACTAGTCAAGTTCTAATTAGAATTTTGAATTTTGACACTTACAAAATCAACAATTATTAATATAGATTTAACTGTATTAACTGGATTTGCTGGGAATCCATCTTAAAAGGAAGACCTTTGACATATGTATCTTACCATGCTTGACCTACGGATGCGAGGCCTGGTCGCTAACAAAGTCCCATAGGGAAAAACTTACAAAGTGTCAGCGTGCAATGGAGCGGAGTATGTTGGGAGTGAAATTAAAAGACAAGATCGGCAACGATGATATCAGATCCAAAACAAAATTTACCAACATACTCACGCGAGTTGACCAATTAAAATGGAGGTGGACTGGGCACCTACTAAGAAGTAGCCTGGAGAAGTGGAGCAAACGTGTAACGGTCTGGTACCCCAGAGATGGTAAACGCAAAAGAGGGCGCCAGATAAGGAGATGGGAGGATGAAATCTGCCAAACTCTAGGGCCACTGTGGACACGAGTGGCGCTAGATAGAGAAAAAAAGGCACACAGAAATCAGAGATATTTTGTAAACCCTAAAACAACTTTATCTGAATAACTCTGTAACTCTGACTCCTGTAATAAAGGCTATTTTATTTATTTATTTATTTAACTGTATTAACTTAAAAATTACATTCTTTAAGCCTTTTTAAGTTGGCAATGGCTCATATCAATAATAAAAAATATTCTAGTAATTAAAGAGCAAATCATAATGTTTACTATTTATTGTTTGAATTAAGTTTTGTAATATTTGAACTACCTAATCAAGCCACTCTTTTAATTTTATATATGACCCGGATAACCAGCTATCGTCATACCAAATTTTATCAAACTCCCTCCATTGGTTTTTCCGTGTTATGGTCAGACAACAGACAGACAGACAAAAATTCTAAAATCTATAGATTCGACCTCTGTATCGATAATAATGTCTATTTCAATAATATTTTCCAAAATATATTAAATGTACAGATTCGGCTTAGTTACAATTTTATTATAAGTACAGATATTTTTTTTAATTTTTCAAATATAGGTAACAATGGAATTGATTAACATAAAAATATTACTCACTAGTTTGGAAACCGGCATTTTGGTATCTGATCACCGGCGAAGCCAGCTTTGATGACGCCTGAGCCCTGTACAAATGGAAATAATGTCAAATGCAAATTATTCATATAAAAAACGTATGCAAAGTATGACTCATTAACTATATAATATTAAGATTATTTAGTTTAGATTTATTATTTCTTTAGCAAAGGTATTACTTTAATAATCATATCTTTGTATTTTCAACTTTGCTATAACTCATCAATACAGAAAAATAGCGAAAAATATGAACGCCAATACGACAAAAAATCGATCGGTTAATACAATATATAGACATATTTACATTATCTATAACGACGGGTTGATTCACAATTACATCGTTCAGCTCCATTTTTTTATATATTAGCTATAACTTTATAAATTGTATCAATTTTTCTAAATTATTTTGTGTTCTATCCGGACTGCTTTCAAGAATGACATCAGTGATTAGTGTTGCCACTTGCCAACACTAAAAAAAAAAGAAACTCAAACGAAAACGCGCTAAATTGACTTAAAAAAAATGCTACATTTGGATATTTATTATTTATTGAAAAAAGTGTTAAATTGTAAAAACAATCAAAAATTAGGTAATTATAATTACTTTTAATTAAAAATAACACAAATAGACAAAAAAATATCTACAAATTTATTAGCCAGTCTTCATCGTAAGAAACTTGTTCTTTTTATACAATTCGGTGGTACCTACATAGATTTGATCATTGATTTTATTTGTCATCCATGGTTTTGATCATGACTCGGTCTTTGTACGTTCTTTGACTGTATTTATGGGCAGCAAATAAGCTTATTAATCTTTCCTAATTCTTAAAAAAAAAACAGAGTATAGTGTTTATTTATTTATTAGGCTCTGGATTCTTGTTGTTTTATTATATTATATTATATTTGAACAATAACGTTCAGTTACATATTGATATTTTAAAGAAGAGGAATATTATTTAAAATATTTAGCACTAGATTGGGCGCTAAGAGCTTTATTATTTTGTTTTGAGCGTTGACAGAACCAAAAAAGCATTACATCAAGCGCCGAAAGCGCTAAGTTGGCATCACTTAATGACAACAGATTTTAAATGTTGCCATACTCTCCATGATCATATTTTTGTCAAATGCAATATGCATCTACTTTTATACGTAATATTTAAATAAAGTTTTGTTAAATTCATTTTAATTCAAAAATATGTTTATACCATTATCGTTTTTATTTTATTCACATATAAGTATATTTTAACCATTAATATATAAAAATATTTTCGGATATCAATGATTTGAACAGAAAAAAATCGAAACTTAAATCAAAGGGACTTTAATGTAAAAGTTTGTTTTTTGCAATTGTAACACTTTAGACAAATGTCAAAAATCAAAATAAATAATCAAAATAATCAACTCGTGGTTTGATTTTTGAATTTTGAATCGAAAGAATTTGGATAGATCATAGATTTGATAAAAAGTTGAATAAAATGTCTAGGGTTATGTACACAATAAACTCATTATTAATATTTATAAGTTTATTTGTTATACTTGTTGCTACTACTGTACAAGATATTGCAAACGGATATTGTGATGCAAAAAGTCATTCTTGCGCTGAAGAATACACCGGTGAAAAATATATATTATACGATGTGAACCCTCCTGAAGGTTTTAATTTAAGACGTGATGTTTATATGAGATTTGCAATAATGCTTTCGGAAGCAAGAAAACAGGAAAATAAGAAACATTGGAGTCTAGTATTACCACCATGGTACAATTTGTATCATTGGAAGCATGATGGTTATGCAAGCAAGCCTATCCCTTGGAGTAAATTTTTTGATGTAGAATCTTTAAAAAGTTTTGCCCCAGTTGTAGAATTACATGAAATATTTTCTAAAACCAAATCAAGATTATTTACTATAGACCGGTTATATGTATTACAAAACTATGAAGATGCTTTTGAAGGTGGGGAATTTAAAGAAAAGTGGGAGATAAGTAATCATTGCAATTATTATAGGTCTTTCTGGGACTATAATAACATAACTGTTGGAGAAACAATATGTGTGAAATTTCAAGGGAAGATATCAAAATTATGGGATTTAGTTGCTTTACATCCAGCTGATAAATATGTTATGTTTGATCATGGAGAGATTCCATTACATGAGTATTACGGTGATAAAAATTTTTGGAATTGTAGAAAAAGTATGAAATTTAATAGAGAACTCGTTGCACGTGCTAAAAGGTATATATTAGAAAATTTACAGTGCAATGAGGAGAAATGTGATAACTATTTAAGTGTTCATTGGCGGAGACAAGATTTTGCTAGATTGAGAAGAAAAGAAGTGCCATCAGTAAAAGGAACAGCTAAACAAATAGATGAAGCAATAAAAAAACATAACCCACATATTGTGGATGTATTTCTTGCGACAGATGCACAATATAATGAATTGGAAGATTTAGAAAATCAACTAAAAGATATGGGTTATAAAGTTCATTTCTTTACACCAAGTCAGACAGAACTAGTCAGATTTAGAGATGGTGGTATTGCGATTATAGATCAAATAATATGTTCACGTGCAGTATATTTTATTGGTACACATGAAAGTACATTTAGTTTTAGAATACAAGAGGAAAGAGAGATATTGGGATATGAGAGCAGTACCACTTTTAATAGATTATGTCCAGACTCTGGGAAATGTGAGAAGCCTTCTAAATGGTCTATAGTCAATTGATTCTAACTAAATTATTATTCTTTTCTTGAGACATTCCGTTACTACATTTACCATCCTCTTCATATTTAAACACTAGCGACACCCTCGTTTCGTTCGGATTCATCCCTAGATTTGTGGATTTTGTTCACAATTTTATGGATATTAGATGAAACGGAAATGCGACACCAAAGAGAGACAACACAAATATATAGGATAAAGCCGGCGAGAGAATGAGATAGAATACATTGCCATGTTGCCATGGTGACCATATTGTTATTATCTGAAAAATATATAACATGTTCTCTCTGTTTATGATTTTCTATAAATATATGATTGTAATATGCCTTATTTATTTGAGATAGAATACATTACACACGACAAATAGTAAAATTATTAACTGAATTAATTAATTAATGTATATTCATGGCAAATAAAATGTAAAATAACTTTTTAACTTGGTAATATTATTAAGAAAAAGAATAAACCCTACAATGATCCTACTTCTGATACTCTATATTGATCTCATTCTCTCGTAGGTTACTTTTCTGAAGTTTCACTTCCACCGTGTGTGAATTTTAATTGCACACACACGCACTTTTTTCCTATGTCATTCACCTTAATTATAATAAAATTATAACTAAGCCGAATCTGTACATTCAATATTTTTTGGAAAATCTTATTAAAATAAACATTATTATAGATACAGAGGCCGAATCTATAGTTATTAGAATTTTTGTCTGTCTGTTACCGCATCACAGAAAATCCACTGGAGGAATTTTGATGAAATTTTATGGTGATAGCTGGTTTTCCGGGTCAACATATAGGATACTTTTTACCGCGGAAAAATGTCTTATCTCTGAGAAAAAATACAAAAACTGCAGTACATGCAGTATACTAATATGTAAAATCTAAGAATTTGGTTTTTGGTAGTTTTGGGTTAGCAATGCTAGCGTTCCATAAATTATGAGATACCTATCTAACTAGCCACTAAATGTATAAAATATTACTTATGAAGTGTATATACCAAAGATTTATCATTTAGTTATAGAATATTCCAGTATATCATTTTAATAAAAGTTTATTTTTACAAATGATTTTTTTCTTTTAATGTCATAAATAATTTTATTTATAAGGCGAAGTATAATGACGACACGTTTGGCTCAGTTCGTAGTGACCTCAGGGCTCAGAGTGTACTTGCTGATCACGGGTTCGAGTCCCACTGGGGGCATTCACTTGTGTGATGTTTGTACTCCAGTCATGGGTGTTTACATTTATAATATGTATGTATTTAAAGTTATATATGTATAATGTATCAACTATCTGGTATCCATAATACAAGCCTCGTAGCTTACCATGGAACTAGATGGCGCTGTGTGTTAATGTCCTGACTTATTTATTTATTTTTTACATTTCAGCGCCTGGAAGTCGATTTTTTTTAAGTTTTTAGTTTAGATGTAATAAGCAGGTAATTTGTTAGTAGAAAGTTTTTAATAACATATTCGATTAAGCAATTTATTAAAAAAAATAATATATCGTTGATTTTTTAGAAAACCACTCGACCGAATTCGATAAAATTTAAATGGGACCTATACCTGGGAAGTATATCCTTTAAAACAAAAAAAGAATTTTCGAAATCGCTTCAAGCATCTTCGAGTAATCGGTGAGCATACATAAAAAAAGATTCCGACGAATTGAGAACTTCCTCCTTTTTGGAAGTCTGTTGAAAAATGCTAAAACACGTATTTATTTAATTGTATTGAAGAACCTTAATACCAAGCTTCAAGTAATTCTGATCTTAAATAATTCTTTGGCCATATAATTTTTATAACCCCCTTTTAAGGGATGAATTTCGATTTTTTTTTTATTATTTTTTATCTTAAAGCTATATCCGACTTTCTATGTATTTTACATTAAGAATGGCACAGTTTCATACAATCTTTAATCACCTATTTTATCCACTTAGGGGATGAATTACGAAAAATTCTTAGTTATCGAATGCCTACATAACTACATACTATAATAAGGAATTAGTCCTCCAAGTTTCAAATTTCTACGACCAGCGGTTTAGGCTGTGTTTAGATCCATTAGTCAGTCAATCACCACAGGATGCACCTCTTCTTCTCAATTTTTCCTTTATCTGGTCTAACTTTCAGGTACAATATATTGCACAGGTAAGATGTGAATACAATGAAGCACCAAAAACCACCAGCAAAAAAACCAGGTATAAAAGAGATATCACGATAAATTGCTTAACGTGATACGTATGGCGCCCTCCTTTCGAGAAATCTTCCCCATTTTAGTTATCTGTATAAATTATAATTTGAGTGGCAACATTATTGTATCATTTAAAAAAAATAAAAAAGTCATTGATTTGTTTACTTTTAGCATCTGCATTGCATTCTGATTTCTGCAGCTAAAATTTAAATATTTCCGTTTTGATTTGCGACAAGACATTTTAAATAAATTGTAAACTTGAAATAGTTTAAACACTTAAAATACGTGTCTTTCATTTTCCTTAAATGGACAGTTTTAATTTATAACGAGTGTTCTCGGATATCTAATACTCTGGGATATGGACTATTATTCGTCAGATTTTACCGGTAATGGTAAGTTAAATTTCATATTGTCGTTCTCGTATTATACAATCATTTAATTGAGTTAAATTTAAGTATAATACGCATCGGTTATAACATAACCTATTCTAATAAAAATAATTCAATAAATCACATTATCCAATTATTATATTTAAGTGCAAGTTATTGCTTTGGTATATTCATTATTTATACTTTCTGTTCCATGTTTAAGTTAAATATTTTGAATGCGAGTTAGAGTTGTCCAGTTTTTAACTACTTATTTGTTCATCATCAGTTTTCATTTGTATTTATGGCAAGTTAGATTCTTTTTTTATACTAAAGTGCTTATCATGAAGCCAAAACGATAAAAGTTCAACTCGTTTGTCATTTTTTATTTTTTTTATTATAAGTGCTGTTTTTCTTCTGATAAGTTAATTAACATTCCTAGAAATTTTAACTTGTTAATTGTTATCTACCATTTGTAAGTGTAACAAGTAGTCAATTGTTCTAAGTACAAAGTTCCTAAAGTCATAAATTTACATAGTTTAAAAAACCTTCCTTTAAAAAGAAACACTATCGCTACGTATAATAAAAGTTCTGAGACGAATCTGTACATTAAATATTTTTTTGGAAAATGTTATTGAAATAGTTATTGTAATTATTATCAATACCGAGGCCGAATAGTAATTTAGTCTGTCTATCTGGGAATGCATCACAAGAAAACCACGGGATAGATATTGATGAAATATAGTATTACAATAGTTGGGTATCCGGGTCAACATATAGGATACTTTTTACTGCAGGAAAATATCTCATCTCTGAGAAATCTATACTGACAGTTAAAACATACCGAGGGACGAACCCGAGTGGTACTAGGGGGAGTCTCTAAGTATAAGAAAACATTGAAAATTATTAAAATTATTGCACAAAAATCCTATTTTCAGATTTCAATGAATGGGTGAGTAATGCATAGCAAAGATCTTTGCTTAGAAGTTTATTCATGCTTTTATCAACATTAGATCTGAATTGACAAACAAAAATACATTATTTGTCGAAATAAAAATAAAGGTCTTGATCTTCAACAGCATGTGCATGAAAAGTGTTTTTTTTTAACTGTATTGATTTATTTTTAATATATACTAATTTTCTCATTTACCTCTAAACCTTCTTTGAAATATATTTATAATTTAAAATGAAAGTGTACTTTAAATTATATATTGGATTTAATATATTTTAATAAACATGATAAGGACATGAAATTTCTTTGTATTTCTGTGCTATTATACTGGTTTCCTTCTTAAAATACACAAAAAGTGAGCATGCTTTAAAGCTTTATGCCAATATATATACAATTAAAATGTTTTCGAGCTTCCAATGCTTTTTAATATCATCTTACTTTTAAAAACTTAAATTAATCTATATAACAGTTTTTTTTTTCAATGCTTGCTATATGTATAGATATATAAAAATATTAACCCTATAAATGCTAGTTAGGGTCAAAAAGGCTACAAGGCATAAAATATAATGAAAACACGAGTCATTTATCTTTTAAATATAAAAACAACATTTAAAATGTGAGCCCATATCATTTTTATTTCATATTTGAGAGATGATTAATAAAATAATTTTTAGAATTAGATAAGTAGTTTTGAAATAAACCTTTTTCATGCGAACTCATAAAATTTTTCTTTAGGTAAATATTAATGTAAATTATTTATATTAAAGCTTGGGTCGCTTCATTCATTTCACATTACTTTAAATGATAGTATATATTCATAACTAGACATGATAACAATTCATAGATTTTTTTCCATTGATCAATAGAGTAGTATATGATTTATGCTAACATTTTCCATTACTGCTAACCGTAAATTCAGATAGTTAAATATAGCTTGAATCTTTTTATATAGCTATTCTCGGATATAAGATTCCACAACAATCTGTGCGCCTAAATTAAAAATTAGTTATTTCGTTAGATTCGTTGCAATACAATGTTAATAAAAATATAGGATTCAAGTGGAGTAACCTCTTCAACTGATGTCAAAATGCCTTCAATGGAAATCAAGAAAGAGATAAAAGCGGATTCTGAACAAGAAGCAAAGGCCGGCGACAAACGTTTTAATAGATATTTTAAGGGTAAGTATTGTGTAACGCCTAATTTTTTTTTAATGTTATGGAAATTTATCATAGGATAAACTCGACTAGAGGTGTTAGACGACGTAATTTAGTTCGAAATAATATAAAAGATAAGCTATATTGAAAATATGTTAGACATTAAAAGATAAACCAGCTTTAATAAATAATTAAAAAGGCATCCAATCATGTCAAAGGGTTAAGTCAATAGTTTTCACTCGAAGGTAATTTTTATATTATTAAGAATTATTTTGAAATATAACAAAATAAGTTGAAATTTCTATAATGCTACCTGTATTATGAAATATTGGTTTTAGAAAAGGAATATTTTTCATTATATTATTGTTATTTTATATATTTACGGGTTCGAAAGATAGAAGAAGGTGTCCATAATATAATTATAAATTAAAAAAAACCCCTACTCAAATTAATTGTGTTTGAACGATTACACTGGCACGCGTGGAGCACTCAATCGAGTTATCATACGCCAAAATGCCTTACATCATTTGCGAAAAGAGCTGATACTCTTACACTGCTGGATCAACATTAACCAAACATACCTAAGAACCACCGCAAGGAAACTGGCTTTCAAATAAAAAAAACGCGTCGAAATCGGTCCATCCGTTTGAGAGCTACGATGCCACAAACAAACACACACACACACAGACAGACATCGACGTCAAACTTATAAATGTGTTTGTTTGCCTTTTTTTCACATCTAAACAGCTACGTATTGGCGTAATTTTTTGTGTCGAAATAGTTATTAGAAGCCTAAAGAAAGACAGGCTACTACTGCTTTTTACCGCGGGATATTATCTCATTCCCATGGGAAAATACGACAAAACGTACTTAGGGACGAACTTGAGAAAACCTTGGGTGTACCGCCTAGTATGTACATATATAAAACTAAACGACAGTACAAACATTTTTAATTCATGAATAAAACCGTCATTTAGTAATCTATACAGATAAATAAAATTGAAGTGTCTGTTTGTAAATTCAAAATAACAGCTTTTTAATAAATGCAAATGTATACACGGTACATATACCAAAACAATATTTTTTTCAATTTTTGTCTGTTTGTTCCGGCTAATCTCTGAAATGGCTGGACCGATTTTGACGGGACTTTCACTGGCAGATGGCTGATGTAATAAGGAGTAACTTAGGCAACTTTTATTTAAGAAAAAAATAGGGTCCCACGAAAAAAATTGAACCCAATGAAAAATTTAATAATATCCGATTCAAATACGGAAGTTGTATACATACTCTTAATAACAATTATGTTTTCTATATCATAATAATTGTAAACAAAAAAATGTTTAATTCAGTTTATCGTCCAAAATATGCAACAGTTCAAAATATTATTTTTCTTAAGTAGTATAAAACATAGAAAATATTATGTTAAAATAAAGTTTTAAATATGTGTACAAAATATTGGCAAGCAAACCATAAACATTAAGGCTGTATAAAGTAACACCTAAGCTGTTATAAATCAATAATCTAGTTGTCTTATTGTAAAAAAAAAGAGGGTATCTGTAAATTTTCTAACAGTCACTTTTTTTTTCCACATTTAGACGTTGAATAATTGTGCCCAAATGGCACTCCTCAGAACAAAGAATATTGAACGTTAGACCGTTGAATTTTCACATGAGTTTTGTCATATCTTGCATTAAATTTGTTATTTAGTTGAAAGTGATCCGAAATATTGAAATTTATAAAATTAATTTATATCTAGAATTGTTTATAAAACTTTTGTATAAGTATTTAGGGTTCCTTTCAACGGGTTGACCAAATGTGCGAGGTTGTACATACAGAACTGAATTTGAGTAAAGGTATATATTTCATATAATTAATTTTTATTTGTCTCTTTCTAATATGATGTATGTGAAAATTTTAACTTTAAGATGATAAAATTTTTATTTAAATTTTTTATTAGGTCTTTAAATAAAAATTGCTGTTATTACTATCGTTAGAGTAAAACTTTGTGATGTTTACAGAAATATGTAGACAAAAATATTGACTTTATAAAAAACTGAAGTTTTTCAAGCTATCTTTTAGATCCGTTTATTTTAACTCTCCATTTTATTAAGTTTATCGACTCAATGAGGTTATCGATAGAAATTAAATAAAACTTACATCTAATAGACTTAATATAAAGCACTTTTGAATCGTGAGGAAGCTACCATCGGCTAGGAAAGCAGTTCTGCTGAGAAGAGCTTAAGAGAAATGAGACAGTTGCTCTTTTACAATATATATAGAAAACACACACAGCAGCAAAATATTAAACAATAACAAGCGAATGTAAAACACATAGCCTTCATATTGTACCGTCAAAAAGGAATTTTCATTTAACCAACGCATGAATATTTTAAATAATCCTATAGATTTAAAAAAAACCATTCCCTCCACTACCACGAACACGCCGGCGTTACAGTTAACAATAGATTTCTTAGAAATTTAATTAATTTCTTATAAATTTACCTGGAGGTGATAACTAGAAACCTTTTTAGATGGAGAACCACCTACGAAGAGACCCACACCATCGATACAACTGGGCGCCGGGTTCAAATGGAATTTACAGGTGAATTATTTTTTTACCCTATAATCTATAATTTTCTTTTGGTTTAAACAATAGCTTTTTACCGCTTTAAAAAAAAATGTCTTGAAATAAAAATGGGTTGAGAAACCTTGCTATAAAGTAAAAGATTAATCTATTAAAAGTTTATATAATCTATACAGATAAATAAAACTGAAGTGCCTGTTTGTGATGTCAAAATAAAACCTTTTTACTTAAAGCGTATGAAAATTACATACGGCACTTATAAGACAAACACAATTTTTAAAATTTTTATGTCTGTTCCGGCTAATCTCCGAAAGGGCTGGACTGATTTTAATGGAACTTTCACTGGCAGTTACCTAATGTTATAAAGATTAACCTAGGCTGCTGTAATTTTAGAAAACGAATTAGGGTTCCCCAAATAAATTAAAACGAAGGTAGGGATGAACCCGAGTGAAGCGAGGGTAAGTCGCTTGTCATAAAATATTAATATATTTAAATAAAATAAAAAAAAAAACTTCTTTCAGTAGCCAAACCATCAAAACCCCACTGTAGTAATAAAGGGTTAACTCTCCTATCTGAAAATACGTATCAAAATGTATCATACTCAAAAATATGAGTGTAATACGAATATTTACTAGTTAAATTACCGTCTTACATTACATAAGAATTGCAATTAACATCCTACTTTATTATTATGAATGCGAAAGTTTGTGAGGATGTATGGATGTTTGTTACACTTTCACGCAAAAACTACTGAATAAATTTAAATGAAACTTTACAATAATACATATAGCTCATAGACTTCTTTTCATCCCGGAAAAATGTACGGTTCCCGTGGGATAGATTTTTTGTTTTTCGAGCGAGGGTGAGCCGTAAACATAAGTTTTCTTAATGTTATTAACATCTTTTTAGTTTATTACTTGCGCCACTTTGATGTTTAATAATTTATTTATTTATTATATAGTAGACTCATGACGTTCAGTAAAAATTGTAATAATTTAATGCTGAAGTATTTTGAATTTGAATTTAACATACGTCATAATGACGTATAACTCAAGTGTACAAGGAACATAGACCTTACATGTCAAACATTCAACCTAACTTTGGGCTAGGTCATAGGCGGTTTTTCATGAGAATTAAATCGTTAAAAAATAAAATATTATGGCAAATTTCAAAAGCATTTTCTTTTTCGTATTATTTAATAATATAAATTATATATGAATTATTATTAATTATATAAAAAAGGTTTTATATACATTAAATAATTATTTACTATTCTATAAGTTGTCGTTCTGATATAAAATACTTAATGAAGTTTTCTTAAGGTGTCACCTTGAGTGGAACAAGCGCCGGAAAAGCGTTGTGTTTTGTTATATGAATTATTTTTATATTATAATATTAATACTCTGACTCTGTATAAAATAATAAAAATTGTGTGCCGTTACATGGAATTTCACTTGGCCTTCTTAACCTACTTCTGAAATACTCCCGTAACATATTTTGCAACCCGTAATTCTCAGGCCCTGGCTAAAGCGGCTGAATCCGTGGAGTTGGGGGGTAAATCCCCGGTGTCGGCCCTCAACGAGTTAGGGGTGCGAGTCGCGTACAGCGTACTGAGACAACGTGGTCCTGCACACTGCCCTAGCTTCACTGTGGCTGTTGCGGTAAGTGCTGTTTTGTTTATAAACATTTATAATTTATATGATTTGGTTTGTAGTGACTCTAATGCTGTATAAATGTTTTTTTTGAAGTCATACTTCTTTTGGGACGTTGGGAAAAAAATATGAGAGTAAAATTTTTGCGATGCGCGCGCACACTAACAGCCAAAACGCGACATGATGAAGTTAGCTGATAATAATACAATTGTTTGTTGCCATGGTACCGTTGTTATTGTCTGATAAATGATATATAATATTATATTCTTTCTTTAAATAATATTCTATAAATATATGATTGTAATATGCCTTATTTAATTATTTTATTAATTTACCATTGCTTTTAAAAACAATGAGTTGTGACATACGGGATGAAATCCTTAGCTATTTTTGTTCTGTTACGGCAAAGAAGTATAACCTTTTACGTGCGTACATAAGTACAAACACACGTTTTTTTTATTTTCAAATAAATAAATAAATAATTAAATAAAAGATCTAGTTATATGTTAAATTGCTAATTATTCTTTTAAAGTGTAAATTGGATATTTAATATTATTATTCATTTATATTTATAGTATTTATGTCGTCAGTTATTAATCTATATAAGTGGGTTGATTAAAATATTTATCGCATATCTTGGTTGCACCGAAGTGAAAAGTAAAAGATAAATACGTAATTAATTTACAGATAATCTCTTATAAGTGCCTTTATAGTTAAATAATTACAAAACTTGTGTCTGAACGGAAAAAATATCTATATATATTTTTTAATATATTTTAAATTTCAAATTGCCCGACATTAATCCGACACTATTTTAGAAACCTTCATTGGCAGAATATTTTTTGTAAGCAAATATACAAATGTTATTTTTAAATATTATGGATATACAAAAAATAACAAAATGTTGTATAAAAAAATATATTAGGCTGAATAAAATTTATCCAGAATCGCTAAAGAAAATAAAAAGTTATAAATATCTTATGTTGGTAGCATTGGAACGACTAAGTAGGAAAATTACGTATAGTTTTTTAAATCTTAACTTTGTCGTACTAAAGAAAGTTTACAATTTGTTACTTTAATACATATTACTTGTAATATTTTATCAATTTTTGTATCAAATGATCAATGTCAAGCCGTCGTAGTTTAAAGACATTTCTAATACGGCATTCGTGAGACAATGTAATATTTGTAACTTTATTTATCAAAAACCTGAGAAGAGTAGTTTTCTGTTATGATTACGTGTGCAAGTGATAATTCTAATATACTATACATTTTATTAAGTCTTAAACGAAGTGTAGTGAGAAGTTGAGTTTGCCGCCTTTTTACACGAGTATTTTTTTGTAAACTTGTGTGATTTAATTAAAATGGTTGACATAAAGCGTATAACAGATTTAGATTTGAAACACAAGCATCCGATATCGATATTAAATGAATATTCGAATGGATTCATCTTCAGAGACCTTGGTAGAATCGGTAGTGATCATTTACCGTATTTCTGTTCCCAAGTCTTGGTAAATATCATTATTCCGTATTTCTATTAAGTATTAACTATAAATAAAATTGAAGTGTCTGTTTGTAATGTCAAAATAATAAATTTTTACTAAATGCACATGATAGTATATGGTACATATTAGAAAAACACACTTTTTAAAATGTTTGTCTGTTTGATTGTTCTGGGTAATCTTCGAAACGGCTAGATCGATTTTGATAGCTGATCGATTTTGACGGCAGATAGCCGATGTTATAAGGAGTAACTGAGGCTATTTTTATTTTATGTAAAGAATTAGGATTCCGCTCAAAAAAAATTATATGCAAGTTTGTCTGTGCTTTTATTTAATTTTACGTACGTTTTAATTTTTTAGAGCTGAACCCTAATTCTTTTTCTAAAATAAAAGTAGCCTAAGTTACTCCCTATAACATCAGTTATCTTCTAGTGAAAGTCCAGCCGTTTCAGAGATTATCCGGAACAAACAGACAGACAGACAAAAGTTTTAAAAATTATGTTTTTCTTATAAGTATCGTATATAATTTCATATGCATTTAGTAAAACGCTGTTATTTTGACATTACAAACAGACATTTCAATTTTATTTATATAGGTTTTCATTTAGGTATATTTATGTACGATTTAAGACTCAACAGTTATAACTTTCTTAGATTTACGCGAATATTTAACATTTCGAATAAAACTATCTTTTCCGTTTTTATCGCGGATTTATTTTTATTTTTGGTTCCCGACGTTTCGAATGCTTTACAGCAATGACGGCCATGGTCATCAAATGTCAAAATAAATCCTTGAACAAATCAGGATCTATAGATCCTAGATAGAAGATTGTAGGTTATCTTACATCTCACTGCGATCTACGAGAGTGGAGTAATTTTACAAAATTAAAAGACCCGGGCGGAGCCGCGATAAAACGCAAGTGTTGCCCTGTACAGTATACGCCACTCATAAGTGATGATATCATATTTATTTCTAAACCATCATTATACTAGTAACATTAATGTATTAAAGACCGACCTATAATGACCTATCTAGATTTCCTGTAGTTTACGACTGTAAGTTTATTTATTTACTAGCGACTCACGCTCGCTTCGCTCGGGTTCGTCCATAGCTTGATTCAGAATACAAACTTTCATCCCCATTTTCATCCCCTTAGGGATGATTTCCAGGATAAAAAGTATCCTATGTCCTTCCCAGAGTCTCAAACTATCTTACTAAATTTTATCTAAATCGGTTCAGGTATCCAGAGATTATCCCCTACAACGTCATAAACACACAAACTTCACCTCTTTATAATATTAGTTTATTTATTTAAATAGGAAGCCAACGTTGTATACAATATTATTCAATATTCTAGAGCACACTCTTAAATATCTATTATAGAAATTGTATACCTCACTTATTGGCTAACTCAACATGTATAATGAATATCTACATATATTTGACGACACGTTTGGCTCAGTTTGTAGTGACTCTACTTGCCGTGCCAGCGGTGGCGGGTTCGAGTCCCGCGGGGGCATTCATTTGTGTGATGAGCACGAATGTTCGTACTCCAGTCATGGGTGTTCATATTTATAATATGTATGTATTTAAAGTTATATATGTGTAGTGTATCAACTATCTGGTATCCATAACACAGGCCTCGTAGCTTACCATGGAACTAGATGGTACTGTGTGTTAATGTCCCAACATATTTATTCATTTATTCTATAATATAAAAATGAATCGCTGAATGTGTTAGCGCAAATCTCGAGAGCAGCTGAACCGATTTCGCTAATTCTTTTTTTAGAATATTCCTTGAAGTACGAGGATGGTTCTTACTGAGAGAAAAATTTAAAAAAATGCCAGAAAAAGTCTAAAAACAACACTTTTCTATATTCCCATACAAAAGATTCGTAATAATACTTAAAAGTCAAATTGAACTTTAATACCATACCATAAAGTTTAAGTGTTAGTGAAGAGGTTCCGGGAAGGTAAAACAATTAAGTGACGTTAGTATCGTATAAATATTAATGTCAATATTTGTCAATATTATTAACCAAAAAAATTAAAATTTATATGTCTAACGCTGGGTAATAACTATTTATATCTATTTAAAACGTATCTACCCAGCGATGAACCCGAGCGAAGCGAGGGTGAGTCGCTAGTATTTAATAAAAATGAATGTTGGTAAGTGCATAACTCAAGAATGGCTGGACCAATTCGGCTGAATTTTTTTTCGTATGTTCCTTAAGGTCCACGGAAGGTTTTAATAAAGAGAAAAAATGAAAAATTAACGAAAAAATATATATATGAGTAACGCTAGCTAATAACTATTTATATTTATATAAAACGTACCTAAAAGGCAGTGGTAGCCCAGTGGTAACGCTCTCGCTTGGGAAACCGAGTGAAGCGGGTTCAAATCCCGGGTCTCGCACCTCTGATATTTTCATGTGCGAATCATTTCTAACATGATTACCACTTGCCTTACGGTGAAGGAAAACATCGTGAGGAAACCTGCATGTCTGAGAGAACTTAGCAAGTTTTCGAAAGACATGTGAAGTCCGCCAACCCGCACTTGGCCAGCGTGGTGGACTATGGCCTGATCCCCCTCATATTGAAGGGAGGCCCGTGCCCAGCAGTGGGACGTTAAAAAGGGCTGAATACAAAACGTACCTAGGGACGAACCCGAGCGAAGCCAGGGTAAGTCGCTTGTGAATATATAAAGAAGAACGGAAAAAACAATACAAAATATTCTTTGCAGTTAATGGGATAAATAATAAATATACTAATCCTTTTTTTTTTTTTTTTTTAACGCTGGGAAATGCATTTACGCACGACGTGTGGGACTCACCGGCGTAATACAGCCAGTACTACCCACTAAAACCCAACAAAACCTTCCCCCGTCTTAATGGGGCGTCGCAGGATCGCTTACGCATTCAACTACGACGCCCCGACGGCAGGTCGGCCAAAGCAGACCGCCACAACCATGGGGTTGCTCCAAGGTCCACTCTGCTATCAGAGAAGTACCAGGAGCAACCCGCAAGGTACACCGCCCCCGGAAGAGGGCCACCTCCCACCGCCCACCGAAGTGGGCAACCTCCCTGTGCGTTTCTTAGCTTCGCTACTACTACTGAGCCCCCCCACCACGACAAGGTGAACGCACGTTGGGGGGGAAATATACTAATCCTATTCTATCCTATCCTACAGCAACTAGCAGTGGTAGCCCAGTGGTAACGTGCTCGCTTGGGAAACCGAGTGAAGCGAGTTCATATCCTGGGTCTAGCACCTCTGATATTTTCATGCGCGAATCATTTCCATCATGATCACCACTTGACTTACTGTGAAGGAAAATATCGTGAGGAAACCTGCGTGTCTGAGAGAACCTAGCGAGTTGTCTGCAGATGTGCTCAGTCCGCCCGCACTTGGCCAGCGTGGTGGACTATAGCCTGATCCCCCTCGTATTCAAGGGAGGCCCGTACCTAGCAGTGGCACGTTTAAAATGGCCTGAATACTACTAATATTATAAACGAGGAAGTTTGTGATGATGTATGGATGTTTGTTACTTTCTCCCGCAAAAACTGCTGAACAGATTTTGATCAATCTTTGAAATTTTACAGCATCCGAGTAAAACATGTTATAATTCTAATTCACAACGGGCGACCGTGGGAAGACACTGGTCAAAAATATTAATAACGTCGCCCGAAACGATTAGATAGGAGATATTATACCGGATCCACACGATTGCTATGTGCCACAAACTTCAAATCTCTACAAACGTGTGGATGCATCACAAGAACTTGCCTGAAAGCCTTTCATTTGTATATCAAACGCCCTCTCCACATTTTTGAATCTTAATGACTTTTCAAATAAAACCATCTTTTTAGACTCTTCCTCTTATGAAGGAGAGACTCTACCGCAACCATGACTGCTGGAAAGCATTCGAAACGTCGGAAACCAAAAATCAATATAAATCCGCAAAGTATTCGAATTTCGAAAATATTGTTTTATTTAAAATGTCAAATATTCCCGTAAATCTAAGAAAGTATTATTTTCTAATGGCTTGTCGAGGCTTGGCAAGCGTGAATGAGCTGAGTCCTTCTTTCTCAGAACTGATAATTCTTCTAAAACATTTTCAAAATATAATTCTATATTATAAATATTGCGGAATAGACGAAGGATATCTAGGGAGGGTAGTACGAAATAAATCTTAAAACTTACATCTTGAAAAAAACTTTTTAATTTAAGACCAATAAAATTGGTTTAGGTGGCCGATATGTCATTCGAGGGTTGGGGTCACAGCAAGCGTGAGGCGAGGGCGGCAGCAGCCAAGACCTGTCTAAACGCTCTGTTGGCCCGAGCTGGACGTGTGCTTCCAAACCCTGGACCAGCCCCCGACTTCACTAGTGATGAACCACCCAAATATCCTGGTAAGTCTTGATGGAAATCCCAACGAATAAAAAAAACATTACAGTTTTTTTAGAAACGTCATGAAGGAAGATGTGCATTTTTTCAAGGGTTGTACCTCAAGTATCTCCCCTTGAATTTTATAAATATCAGATGACATCGTAGGCTGAAATATTTATTTTAAAATGTATTAATGTTTATTTTAATTTGGGCTAATTTTTTCAGTTAAAAAGTAAGCGATACTTAATATTATAAATGTGAAAGTGTGTTCGTTTGTTTGTTTATCCTTCTTTCACGTCGAAACGGAGCCACGGATTCGGGTGATATTTTGTGTGGAGATAGTTGGAGGGCTGGAGAGTGACATAGGCTACTTTATCTCTTCCCCACGGGAAATCACGTTTTAATACAACCCAAAAAAATATTTATGATCAGAATTACTTAAAACTTGGTATTAATACCCTTCAATAGAATTAAATAAATACGTGTTTTAGTCTTTAGCATTTTTCTAAATTCATCGCATTAAGGGGTAAAATAGGGGATGAAAGTTTATATGAAATCTACATTTTTAGAGATTTTTTTGTAGTTTTAGCGCGAGCGAAGCCGCGGGTTCTGCTAGTTTAAAATAATTAACACTTTTTTTTCTTCCTACTGTAGTGTCAGAGTTTCAGTGTATGGAAACCAAAATTCAACCACCAGATTCTAACAAGCCTGCGCCTGCGCCTGGTAAGTGCTATGTTCTATATACTCAGCCCTTTTTAACATCCCACTGCTGGGCATGGACCTCGTTTCAATACGAGGACGAGCTGGTTATCCGGGTCAACATATAGGATACTTTTTACTGCGGGAAAATATCTCATTTCTGAGAAATCTATACTAAACGTTAAAACGTAAGTAGGGACGAACCCGAGCGGAGCAAGGGTGAGTCGCTAGTGTTCTTAATATATTCACAAGGTAGACTTTAATTTTGCACTACTATTATTAATTAAGTTTATATGTGCGTATGTTTGTTTTTCTTTCACGCCATAACGGCTGGACGGATTTGGATGAAATTTAGTACACAGATAGTTATATATAATCTGGAATAACATATAGGCTATTGTTAGTAATTAAATTTAGCGAAAGGTTGCGCTACGTGTGTATTTTAATATTATAAATACCGATGCTAACTCACTAATCTATACATATAACAAAACTGTAGAGGTCGAATGTCTGTACATAGAAAAATAATGCTGAAAACCGAGTCAAGGGGATGTAAGAAGAGAAATAGAACAGATCCAGATTTTTTCAATTTTTTTTGTTTCTCTGTCTGTTTGTACGGACTAATCTACGAAACAGTTGGACTGATTTAAATGAAATTTTGCATGATGGTACTTTATATCCCCGGTCAACATTTTAGATACTTTTTATTTCGGAAAATTAAGAGTTCCCGTGGGATAGTTAAAAAACTATAGTAACTTATACAGCGTAGTACACATACACAAAAACTACTGATTGGATTTTAATGAAAATTTACAATAATATAGTTCATACATCAGAATAACAAATAGGCTACTTTTTATCCCGGAAAAATTTACGGTTTCCGTGGGATACATTTGTTTTTGTTTGTCTAGAGGCGAACCCGAGCGAAGCGAGGGTGAGCCGCTAGTTAATAATATAGTTTTAGGATATATTTTTTTGTTGCAATATGAATCTTGATGTTTAATATTAGCTTAATTTTCGAGGAATATTCGTCTAAATTTTTTCGGTCACAATTGAACATCTGGTGTAATATTTCCAGGTCTTTTCGGTCCATCGCTGTCTCCGGTAAACAAAAGTCCAATAAATACGTTGTACGAAAACTATCCCGGACTAACTTTCACTTGCACTTTCGGAGATGGAACTCCTCTAGAAACATCGCAGGGTAAGTGCTTCCTGACCGATAACGGTCACGAGTTACGGTCAGTCTGACTGAGGTTAGGCAACTAATAGAGATTTTAAAATAGTAATAGAAGATGGAGATAGTAATAGAAGATTTTATACTTTTCTTATTTTTTTTTATAAACATAGGTAATACGTATCCCGATTAGTGATGTAACATGAAAAAAAATTGGTGCCATTGTTTTTTTTTCTAACTTAGTTTTTTTTTTAAGAAAAAATATCTATAGCAAATTAAATGTTTTATTGAAGATTGTTTTCTAATTTCTTACATTTTACTAAAATTACAAATCGAATATAGTATAATGAATCAATTAAATAAATAATGATTTGTTTAGATTTTTGGTTCACGACGTTTTTTGAATTTTTGAATTCATTTTTGTTAACTTGTGGGTAGGCTGTCTGTAACAACTATAATATAATGTTTTTGAAACAACTTAAACCTCAGTCTCTCTCGTGACCATGATTGCTGTAAAGCATTCGAAACGTCGGGAACCAAAAATCTAAATAAATTCGCGAAAAAATCCGAAAAGATGGTTTTATTTAGCATTATGTCAGTATGTCCTTTTTTATTTATATTTATATTATTTTATATTATTTATAGCGCCAACACAATTAAGTCACAGCATGCGGTTCAAAGTCGTCGTTCAAATTAAAGATCAGAAGTTCGAAGGATTTGGTGAGTGAATGATTTGTTTTATTTTAATTAAAATTTGGTTAAAACTTTTTTTTTATAATTGGAATGATAATGTACTTTTAATTAAAAAGTGAATGAATGATGAATGAATTAAGAATGGGGTTTTATTTTTTATTTAATTTGATTTGTTGTAGCTTGAGTGTAAAAAATATTAATTATGGGTTTTCATGTGAATGATTAAACAAATGAATTTTACAATTGTACTGTAACATTGAATGAACATTTTTTAATTTGAAAATGAATTAAATTACATATTATTTTTTAGTTTCAAGCAAATACTATTTAATATATTTTTATGAAGTTTACTTTGAATGATGATGAATGAATGGATGATTGAATGATCGAACGAATGATTTGTTCAGGGTCGAGCAAGAAACTGGCGAAGCTGGCGGCGGCGCGCGCCGCGCTCGGGGAGCTTTGCGAGCGCAGCCTGCACCAGTTGCGGCCCAGCTCTGATGATGCTCTGCCTCAACTCCTGGCTGACCACATTGCCAAGTGAGTTGCATTGAACATGTCAGATGGATTATAAAATAGTGACTTTTTAATGTTGGGAAATGCATTTACCACTTGTATACATATATACAAATAGATTTAGATGAAATTTGGTAAGAAGATAGTTTGAGACCCTGGGAAGGACATAGGATACTTTTTATCCCGGCAATTATTCCTTAAGGACGTGATAATGGGGATGAAAGTTTGTATGGGGAATCAACTTAGGGGCAAACCCGAGTGAGACGAGGTTGAGTCGCTAGTTTTTAACTAATTTTGAAAATAAAATACTATTTTTTTTGTTTTCAGATTGGTGAATGAGAAGTTCAATGATTTAATGCGAGATGATTTAGTGCATTCTAAGAGAAAAGTGCTCGCTGGCATCGTCATGACTGTAGATAACAAGATGGAGGGGGCTAAGGTAAGAATCTATGAAACGGCTGGACAGATTTTATATGAAGTACTTTGGAAAATCTGTATTATCATATATATAAAATTTCCATGTCACAATGTTAGTTACCTATTCCTCCGAAGCGGCTTTACCGATTTTTACCAAATTTTATATGCGTATTCAGTAGGTCTGAGATATATAAGGATAAGGGTGGTCCTCCCAGACCGCACCCCAGGGACGAACCCGAGCGGAGCGAGGGTGAGTCGCTAGTTAATATTATAAATGTTAAAGTTTGTGAGTATGTATGGATGTTTGTTACTCTTTCACGCCAGAACGGCTGAACGGATCTGGATGAAATTTGGCACAGAGATAGATTATAGTCTGGAATAGAACATAGGCTTACTTTTTATTTTGGAAAAATGTACGGTTCCCGTGGGATAATTTGATTTTGTTTTCCTAGTTTTCTAGTGTAATAAATAAATAATTGTATATTCCAGGTGTTGGCGGTGACGACGGGTACTAAGTGCGTGAGCGGCGAGCATATGTCGGTGCGAGGGCTCGCCGTCAACGACTGCCATGCAGAGGTATATATAATAAATAAATAAATAAATAAATATGTTGGTATATTAACACACTTCACCATCTAGTTCCATGGTAAGCTACGAGGCTTGTGTTATGGATACCAGATAGTTGATACACTACATATATATAACTTTAAATACATACATATTATAAATATAAACACCGATGACTGGAGTACAAACATTCGTGCTTATCACACAAACGCCCCAGTGGGACTCGAACCAGTGACCGCTGGCAATTTTTAATTTATTACGCGGGTAATTTTTTTATACATATATATATAATTAATTAAAGCCATGTTTATTTTTTATTTTTTAAACGATTATCATATTATAATATTTTTTTTAGGTGGCAGCACGTAGATGTTTTCAGCGATTTCTGTATGCACAATTGTTGATGTATGCGAATTCACCTGGTGAGTTAAACTGTCTCAGACTAATGAATAATTTAAATGAAGTGTCATAGAAATAAAGACGATCAAACAATTGTTGTTATAAAATACTATACAAATGACAATTTGTTTATTGAGTGATAAGTAAATAAATCTATACATATAATAAAATTGTAACTAAGCCGAATCTGTACGTTAAATATTTTTTGGGAAGTCTTATTGTAATAGACATTATTATTGATATAGAGGTCGAATCTATATATTTTTAGAGTTTCTGTTTGTCTGTCTGGGAACTCATCACGAGTAAATCACTGGACAGATTTTAATGAAATTTGGTATGGTGATAGCTGGTTATCCGGGTCAACATATAGGATACTTTTTACTGCGGGAAAATATCTCATCTCTGAGAAATATATACTAACCGTTAAAACGTAACGCTAGTGTTAATATATAAACATAGCTAACGGAATAGAATTAAAGCATTACTTATAGTCTCTGGATAAGTTTTACTACTCAAACAAACACACACACACACACACACACACAATGAATAATAACCATTAAACCTAACCCACCCCCCATTCCCCAGACCCAACCAGCCCAATTCCGGAGTCAGACCTGGAGCCAGTTCCGGGAGGTGGCTACCGCCTGCGCGGCGACCGGCAGCTACATCTGTACGTTAGCACTGCACCATGCGGGGATGGAAGGATCTTCAGTCCCCACGACAGACATGAGCTGGAGCCTGATAGACATCCTAACAGGTAAGGATTCTCCAGGACCTGGGGTGTGAATAACCTGATTCTGGGCATCTATATAGCCAGGGTTCTGGGCCAGGGTGTGATGCCTGAACTAAAGAGTCCTCATGACAGGCGTGGGGTGTATTCTGATAGAATCTTATTAAGAATGGGTTCTGGAGGACCTGGGATGAATAGCCTGAGGCTGGGCGATTTATTTCATTTCATATATGTATATTGCCAAGATTTTGGGCCAGAGTTCCCATACAGGTATGGGGCATATCCTGGACATCCTAATAGGAGAGTGTTCTGGAGGACCTGGGATAAACAACCTTAAGGGCTGATGCTGGACAGATATATATCTATATTACTAAGGATATGGACCAGAGGTCTCATGCAGGTATGGGGCAAGCCCTGGATATCCTAATAGATGAGTGTTCAGGAGGTTCTGGGATGAACATCCTTAACGTCTGATGCTGGGATGGTTTTATTTAAAAAGCCATGTTTTTATCATATATTTTTTTAAATCTCTCATTCAATTTATTGTTATATGTGCAGGTTAGCACGAGGCCAGCTCCGTACTAAGATAGAGTCCGGTGAAGGTACCATTCCTGTGAAGAACTGCACCAATATCGTGCAGACCTGGGACGGAGTGTTGCAGGTGGGTTGCTTATCTGGATTGATGTATGGCTGGTGGTGTTGTTTGTTTAAACTGTCTTATTGGTCTAGTGGTTAGTATGTACTGTTGTAGGTTTTGAGGTTCTCGGTTCGAGTTCCGGATCGGGTCAAGTTTGGTTATTGGGCTTTTAATGTTATTTTCTTGAATTTACGTGAATATTTGACATTTTAAATAAAACTATCTTTTAGGATTTTTTCAGTAGCCATCGATGAGTTCACTATTCACCTCCTACGACCATCATCAGGTCAGCTCGATGCTAACAATATATTGTATTGTCTTGAAAACTATTCGAGATATCGAAAAAAAAAAATTTTTATTTTTCGTTTTATTTTGAAAAAATATCGAATTCTGTAACAAAAAATTTTTTTTTTCGATTTTTGAGTATTGTTATCTCGAAAACTTGGCAGATATCGAATAATTTTATTTTTAGGGCCGCTCCACACAATAGCGCCGATCACAGTGCGTTTTCGGTCTAGTAAAGTATTTCTATACACCGACAGCTTTACGTACTCTCCAAGGCATGGGGATGAAACACCATCTTCTGAACTCTGGGCTGTTACTGAGAACTTATTGACTTCTAGAAATTCTTATGACAGAAATACTCAATATATAAATACTAGCATTGCCCACGGCTCCGCCGGCGTTCAGATAACGAAAAAGCAAATTCTTATGTTTTACATATTAGTATACTTTTACAATGCAGTTTTTGCATTTTTTCTCAGAAATGAAATATTTTCCCGCGGTAAAAAGTATCCTATATGTTGACTGGGATAACCAGCTATCACTATACCAAATTTCATTAAAATCCTTCCAGTAGTTTTTCTGTGATGCGGTAACAGACAGACAGACAAAAAATCTAAAAACTATAGATTCGGCCTCTGTATCGATAATAATGTCTATTTCAATAAGATTTTCCAAAAAATATTTAATGTACAGATTCGGCTCAGTTAGAATTTATATATATACATATATATATATATATATATATATATATATATATACACACACATATATATATATATATATATATATATATATATATATATATATATAGATAATATAGATATAGATTAGTATTTGACGGTGTGCGGTGGCGTCGCCAGGGGGAGCGGCTGCTGACGATGTCGTGCTCGGACAAGGCGGCGCGCTGGTGCGTGGCGGGCCTGCAGGGCGCGCTGCTGGCGCGCCTGCTGCGCCCCGTGTACCTGCGCTCGCTCGTGCTGGGCTCGCTGCTGCACCACCACCACATGTACAGGTACTGGACGACCACTCCTCAAACTATCCTATCCACACATTTCTTGTCATTCATATACAGCACCGTCTAGTTCCATGGTAAACTACGAGGCTTGTGTTATGGATACCGGATAGTTGATACACTACACATATATAACTTTAAATACATACATATTATAAATATAAACACCCATGACTGGAGGACAAACATTCGGGCTCATCACACAAATGAATGCTACCAGCGAGACTCGAACCCGCGACCGCTGGCACAGCAAGTAGGGTCACTACAAACTGAGCCAAACGTGTCGTCAAAAAAATTCTTATATTCAGTACTTTTATAAACTTCAGTGAGTTACATAATTTATAATCATAATTTTCAGTATTACAAACAATTCGTAACCAATCACTACATGGTGGTACCGACATCTCTGTACAAAAGCGCGGGAAAACGAATGAATATCTGCGCCCCTTTTTTTTTTAAACACATTCCTATCGGCCAAGGTCACATAAGTGAATGCCTTATACATAAATCATTACAAATTAATCAAATATATTATTTTCTATTAAAACACTCGATATATAAAAATGCAACCTTACAGTACATACACACACGTAGCAGTGACGAAACGTCTATATTACACGTCTTACCTTAAAATGTATTTTGCTATAATTTTACATACATATTTTTTTTCTAAATATAGTAATAGCATTATTTCTTTTTGCATTGTTACGTATATATAAATTTAAAATTTTTTATCAATGTTTTTTTGTTCTTTTTTTTTTTGGAACGGCTTACCTTTGTTAGAATTTCACTCTTCATCACTGATACATACACACGCGTATTTACACACAAGCTCAGACGCACACAAACACACACGCATGCGCCTATTTACACACAGGCACAAGCAAACAGAAACATACATACAGCACACGCAACTCACGCTCACACACATTAATGCGGCACAAGCTATCTCATTATTAGTTAATTATAATACCAAAAAAAAAACATAACATATAAGAAACCACAAGTTTTTATCCAACAAGTTTCATAATAAAACAAATAAATATATAATTAAATATTATTTATTAACAAAAACATTCTAAAACTTATAATATACCTTTGTTAAAACCATTCACGAAATGTAATCATTCAAAACATAAGTTATTTAAATCATTCACTCAATAGAAAATGGCGACTGTCGTTTAGTTGTCAAAAAATATGTGCCTCTGGCTCTGAAAATTAAAAATAAAAATATTTTTTTTATACCTTTTTATGTCATTTTAAGATGCAGAATAATATTATGATTCTTTTCAAAATATTGGCTATAATTAGGACTCGTTTTATTAACCGAGTTCCAAAAAGGAGGAGGTTCTCAATTTTTCGAAATCTTTTTTTTTATTTATATTCACCGATTACTCGAAGACGCTTGGACCGATTTGGAAATATTTTTTGTTTCGAATGGTATATATACTTCCCCATTTAAATTTTATCGAAGTCGATCTAGCGGTTTTAAAAAAAATCAACAATAAATGTTTTTTTTTTTTTTAATAAATTGCTTAATCTAATATATTGTTATAAAAACTTTCTTCTTACAAATTACCTGCTTATTACGTCTACACTAAAAATGGAAAATTAAAAACTTAAAAAATAAAAGCCAAATTCCAGGCACTAGAATGTAAAAAATAACTAAACGGGGGTTTTCATTAGTTTAATAGATACCTAATCAAATATTTTTAAGTATATATACAATATTTACATTTATACTAGAAAAAAAAACATCTTAATTTTTTTTATAAAGTATATAAAAAATATACTCCATTGTATGAAATTTTCTAAAAACTATTATTTACATGCTAAATATTTACAAAAATAATAATAATTAAATCTTACCTATTTAGTGCTAATACTTATATTATTCTCCTGTTTCAAACCGAAAAGTTTTCTCAAAATCGATTTAATCTTAGATTCATTGTTGAAATCGAAATTATAAGTTACGGGTTGTAAAGTTGGGGAAGTGCCGATGAAATTGTGTTGCTCGTTTATATAATTATTAAATTCGCCATTACCAGTTTTTATTAAAGTGTTTATTTCTCTTATTACTGTGATAACTGGCAACACTTTACTGTGATGTCTTAAAAGAAAACCCAGAATTTTGTATAGCGTGCTATCGCTTGTCTGTGGTTTGAAAAAGGAGATGAATCTTCGTTGTCTATGGCTTTTTTGTCTTTGGTTTGTCTTTTGTTGGCTGAAAAGTTGCCCGATTTTCGGGCGTGTAATTATTTTGTCTTTTGACGTGTTTTTTCTATTAAGTCTGGTCTTCAGAGCCAAATTTAGGAAATTGCTAGATTTGTTTGAGTTTTCTTGTGATGTTGCTAATGTTTGAACTGTGTTTCGTATGAAATTTAATGATCTAGCAAAAGTGATTGCGTTGCGAATTTTTGATAGATTGTCACGAATTCTGTTTGGTTGTTTGTTCGCTTGTAGGTAATAAATGAAGAGATTTTTCGGTTGTGTCTTGTTGTCACCTGTTGAAGAAAAATATTTAAGGTGCTATACATATATGTGCGTTTTAATTAATTGTGAAATAAATTCATATTTTAATAGAGTAACAGCCTAGCATGGTATGGTTATGTTATTGGGATGTATGGTATAGGCAAGCGAGTATTAGATATGAATACGAATGAAGTGGATGAAATAAAGAGAAAGAGAGGGAGAAAGAGAGAGAGGGAGAAAGAGAGAGAGAGAGAAATAAGAGGGGGAAGAAAAATTGGGGGTGGAATAAGGTAATGTTATAAATTTAAAAGATGAAGAATCTAATAAATGATGTAGAATTTGTAGTATTTACAAGAATGAGACGAAATAATATACTTTGTAGAACGATATTGAGAACTGGAATTCTATGTTCGAAACAACTATTTAAAGCTACGTATAAACGTGATGTATTAAAGGAAATTGTGTATATATGCGAGAATTTCGGTGATGTCGATGTGCCTGAAGATATAAGATAGGCCAATAAAACGCCCAATAAAACAAAAAAATTATAAAGTGTCCAATACCTTGCAATATTTACGTGCAAATTTTTTCAAACAATACAACCAAAAATATCAAAATTATCCAAAAATATAAGCTAATTACATAACTTTCTCTTCTTCTTCGTCTTTCAACCACCATAGTGCCTAACAGAAGAGGCAAAGTTCGAATAACGGCCAAGCGTGAACCTATTTTATGTGCAAAACAGGCCAAAGTGGTGAAAAAGCAAAACGTTCTATCCAAAAGTGACATAATACGAAATGTGCCAAAAAATTCGCACTCTCACTTCAAATCGACACCGAAGCCCATATGGGTGGTGACCTCGTTCGAACAGTAGCCTTTTGAATAATCTCTCCAAGACACACACCGTGTGGCCACAAACGAAGATGGCCGTAAAACTGACTCACTATAAAACATGTATGAACGCCAATGACTGCAGAAAACTGGAAGAATAAGATATTATCCAAGGCTAGATGATCAGGTTTGTAGATTTTGATCCATTTCACTAAAAGGAGGCACTCAATTCGATTTTTGTCGAGTATTTCATGCGATAACTTTTCTGATTGTGGACCGATTTTCATGATATTTTAGTAAATATGTTATAAGTCATAATTTATATAGAATTATTATATAAATATTTTGGTATAATTGGACTTGTTTATGGAAAAATTAGCCACAAGTTATGTTTAAAACTGAATTAAAATAAATAATTTTCGTCTTCACGCTTTTTTTTACTTTGTACATATAATATTTTCATATAGAGTTGGTATATTTCTATTTCTTTAATTTGGTCCAAGTATTGTAGTATAAATAATAAATAAATATGTTGGTACATTAACACACAGCACCATCTAGTTCCATGGTAAGCTACGAGGCTTGTGTTATGGATACCAGATAGTTGATACACTACACATATATAACTTTAAATACATACATATTATTAATAATTGACGTATCTAAAATTTTTTTCTACCGAAATCTTTTGCTCCAAATATTCCTTCAATGAGTTTAACTTTAAAGGCTTTTTCATATGTATCTTTCTATAGCAGATATCTTTCTACTTACATTTGTTTAAAAGTTGTTGTTGGGGAATAGTTACTTCCAATTCGCACCCCGGTTGAGGGCTGATCCCACCGTTGGGATAGAAGTCCACGTGGCCCACTTGCTGGTTGTACCCTAGAATTGATGTTTGTCTCAAAGTTGTTCCAGAACTTTTTCTATGAAAGATGCTTTTGTTAGATTCGTTTTTAACTGTATAAGCCCATCTTGGAAGACCAATTCAAGCTTCTTCTTGTTCTTTTACTGATTAGGAACTTTGTATGCGAAATCCGGATGATCTATACCTACTAATATTATAAAGAGGTTTGTGAGTTTGTGAGGTCGTAGGGGAAAATCTCTGGATCTACTGAACCGATTTAGATGAAATTTGGTAAGAAGATAGTTTGAGACCCTGGGAAAGACGAAGGATACTTTTTATCCAGGAAATCATCCCTTAAGAGGGTGAAAATGGGGATGAAAGTTTGTTTGACGATGAGTCGCTAGTAATATAATAACTTGATAGCATTGAGTTGATCTGATCATGGAGCCAGGAAATGATGGACCATTGAATTAGTTTTGAAGAGTACAATGCAATGCAGTTCGTTACAAGTGTGTTTACGAGTATTTATTTATTTATTTTATACTACATATACATGTTTAATTTATTTTCCCTCTTTTTAGTGGAAACGATTGAAACTCCAGGATTTTGATAATTTCGTGGAAATGCTAAAGTCTTTTAAGCTTTCAAGCTTCTTCCATGTACAGTACGTCTTAAATATATTAGTCAGTTTCCCCCAACTTACCAAATATACCAGCATCAGTGTGTATAACATCAACGAATTCAGCGTCAGTTGGGTCCAGTCTTTGTTGGATTGGTAGCTTGTTGAATAATGGCAATGCCGGGTCCAAACCCGTGATACGGGATACGCGACCTAACGAGGACATAAATAGTAATTTTAAAATTTCGCACCCTGAGCTAAAAGATTAACCACCCCTTACGTTTTACACCCTCTTAAAAGTGGTGAAACTAAAAAAGACCAATCCTAGAATAGAATTCATTAAATATTTACATATATTTTGGACAAATTCTTTTACGAAATCATCTATAACATGATTATAATATTTATTAGAATTATAGATTTATACACCGCAGTAAGGTCCAAACTCACTGGACATAAGGATGTTCTTCTATAAAAATATAAAACTATCTTTTCAAAGAATTAATGTTTAGTATAAATTTCTCAAAGACGAGATATTTTACCGCGGTAATAAGTATCCTACATGTTGGTCCGGATTACCAGCTATCATCATACTAAATTTCATCAAAATCTGTCCAGTGGTTTTCTCGTGATGCGGTCACAGACAGACAGACAGACAGTCATACAAAAATTCGAAAAACGATAGATTCGACTTCTGTATCAATAATGACTATTTCAATAAGATTTTCAGAAAAATATTAAATGCACAGATTCGACTCAAAATTTTATTATAGATATAGATGTCAAATTTTAGCGTGAATCTAAGAAAGTATTAACTCGCTTAGATAACTATGTCTCTTATTGTTAGTAGTAGTCTCTTTCAAACATTATTCTTGTCTATGCTTTATCTGCCGCTGCTTATTTACGCTTGCAACACTTTAGAAATTACAGTTTTTCAATACACGTATTTTTTTCTACTATGATTAGCATACACGGCTGCAGATTGAGAAGTCTTGGGTTGGAGACTCAAATAGTGCCTAAATGAGTTACTGGTTTTTTTCTGTCACGAAAAACTCAGTAGCAGCAAGGAGTTGTGAAAATGGCAATGGAGAGCACGTAAAGTGGTCCTGAGCCTTCTCTTTCACCGCGAGTGACAAATTGTCGTCTTATCGTAATATCTAATATATTTAAACGAGAAATTCTTGTATATTTATACCGGCGATCTCGGAAACGGTGCTAACGATTTCGCTGAAATTTTTAGTGTGTGGGTTTTCGGGGGCGAAAGATCGATCTAGATTAGTCTTATTTCGGGAAAACGCGTGTTTTCGAGTTTTCATGCGGTTTTCTTTCGCATGTAAAATATGGTCGCTAATTTCGCACGCTCGGGCATAAGCAGCGTGGTCAAGCGGCCAAGGCGCAAGATTGGCAATCACAGGTGTCCGGGTTCGAATCCCGGTCGGATACAAAGTTTTTACTTTTGTTTTTTTTTGTTATATTTATTCAAGTTGTGAGTTGTTTTTTAAAGAAACCTTCTTCTGGCCAACAACTCCGAGCGAAACTCGGTCGCCCAGGTACTGACAGTTAAAACACGCACTCCACTAAAATATCTATCTTTTACTCTCAGTGAAATCGGCCGTCGTAATCGTAATCAGTTTGAAGGGTCTTATCATTATTTTTTGCTATCAATTCACTTGCCAGTGCGGTATTCATATAAAATTCAGTCATTTTGTGAAATATACCTGATTTTATCGAGCTACCAGCGACCCCGGCGGATTGAGCGCCAAGACTGTGTCCGACGAGATGCGTTTTTGATAGATTTAGACCTCTGGAAAATATTATTATAACATTATTTCTAATTTTTAATAAATTATTACTGCTTTCTGATTCATTAATCTTTTTTTTATGTCAGGACATTAACACGCAACACCACCTTGTTCTATGGTAAGCTACGAGGCTTGTGTTATGGATACCAGATAGTTGATACATTATACATATATAACTTTAAATACATACATATTATAAATAAATATAAACACCCATGACTAGAGTACAAACATTCATGCTCATCACACAAATGAATGATGACCCCAGCGGGACTCGAACCTGCGACCGCTGGCGCAGCAAGTAGGCTCACTACAAACTGAGCCAAACGTGTCGTCAAATCAGTTTTAGATATTTAAAAAAATATTAGGTTACGTTTTGTGTAAGGAGTTTTATTTATAGAAGCAATTCTCACCAAATATCAATCTCCATCTCCTTCTATTATATTTATATTGTTTAATACATATTTGAACTCATATAAAAGTTCAGTAATAGAGCACTGTAATATTTTGGAGTCACTTTGTTTTACCACAAACCTTTATCGTACCAATATGGGCAATACTTTTAATTATTTTTGCAAATTCAGAAATAAATTTCGAACGTCGCTTCTATGCTTGACGGACATTTTCATTTCATTTATACATATATGATAATTATATATAACATACCTAGATACTAAATAATCTATGAAATGAGCAGCTGTACGACCAATATACCACGTGTTCTCTGCGGCTTTGAAATACCACGGCCCTGCCTCCAGTGTTTGCGCGTCCACCATTATGATATTGGTGTCACCACGATGGGTGTATGCTAGAATAGAAAAAACAGAAATTAAAAAAAAAACTTCTTTTTTTGTTTATCCGGCTTGAAGGATCAAGTTTAATTTTGTTATATAGAAAGGTGTGGGTTTTTATGTTTGTTGTAAACTTAGTATTTATTTTGGATTTGGAAAAAGTTTTTTTTTCAATTTTATTAGCGTAGGTACGTTTTAATTTTTTTGAGCGGAACCCTAATTTCAAATAAAACTATCTTTTCGGATATTTTCGCGAATTTATTTTGATTTTTGGTTCCCGACGTTTCGAATGCTTTACAGCATTCATGGTCACGGGAGATACTGAGGTGTTAGATGTCCCTAAGGTATTATATACTTGTTGTTAAAATGGCATGGCACATCTTTAATTGCTGAAATATATATAAATAAAAATGAATCACCAAAATGTATGTATGTACACGCGTAACGTCTAATCGACTGCACCAAATTGGATGACTATACATATATATATAAATATACTTTTTTTGTGTGTGTTATTGTCAGGACAAGTTTTGTATAGTAGAAAATTAAAAGAAAATTTTTTTTACTAAAATCATATTTTTTTTAAATCTCATGATATGGAAAGTGAGTGAGTGAAATACTTTTTATCCCGGAAATGATCCCTTAAGGGGGTGAGAATGGTGATGAAAGTTTGTATAGGGAAGAAAGCTAGTAAAAAAATAATATTTACCTTCTCTGATCAACAAGGCACTGCCATCATCAGGTGTCTCCATGAAAGCATGGAAATATATAACTGTTGGGTCGTTGAAGTCGATGTTCGAAGCGAATAGGCTTTCATCATCATCGATGATCAGATTATGGGGCACTGTGGGGTTGTATCTGTGGAAGAGTAGAATCGTTAAGTATATGTTAGACGAAACTTTTGGCTCAGTTTGTAGTGACCCTACTTGCTGTGGCAGCGGGCGCGGGTTCGAGTCCCGCTGGGGGCATTCATTTGTGCGATGAGCACGAATATTTGTACTCCAGTCATGGGTGTTTATATTTATAATATGTGTGTATTTAAAGTTATATATGTGTAATATGTGTCTGAGAAAAGGGTCTTGACAGACAAACAGACGGACGGACACCGAAGTGATGATATAGGGGATCCTTTTTACATTTTGAGGTATGGAACCTAATTGTTGTTGTTTAGAAGAATGTCTGTACAAGTAGACTCTTCTTATAGACAATAATTGTTTTTTTAATAAGGTATAAAAACGCGTTTAATTTTCAAAAAAAAACTGACTTTATTATAGGAAAGTGAAAAATACTTTACGACTTATTTATTCTCATATCTGCCAAATATACAAGAAAAAATATCATTAAAATCGGTCGAGTTTCGGAGGAGTGCGACAAACATCGCGACACATACTAGCGATTTTCTGCGGCTCCGCTCGCATACTACATTAATCACCAACATATCATATACTAAAACCTTCTCCGAAACACGCCGCATCTTTTGGTACGAGTATTATTCCGATCGGTTCAGTAGTTATCGCAGTATAACCGAACAACAAAAATCGGTTCTCCATTTATTAGTATAGATTAGACAATAAAAATATACCTTGTATATAACTGAAACACAACGTCAATATTGTCGCGGACGAACGGACATTTTCCTTTGTTCACCGGCGTTATTTGTAGGAGAGCGTTCTCAAACTGGATTCCAGGAGGACCTGGAATTAAGAGAAAATATTTTTTCTGTTAGAGATATTAAAAAAATGTTCTTATGCACGTCTTGATTGTCATCGCTTCGCTCGACTTTTGCTTTAATATTACGACTTTGCCTCGCATCGCTTGACCACTTGACTGATGATGATGATGATGTTCTCCTAGCCGATTCCGGCCACGGCGGCCAATCTCATTGAGACTAGCCAACTGCGCAGGAGATATTATAGTGCACAAGTGTACGCGCAGACACAACGTGCACTCTCTATTCCTGTCACTCTCATACTCCGGTGGGACGACACGAGACACTCGCGGTGAGAGTGTCGGCGCAGGACCGACAGCTTTACGTGCTCTCCGAGGCACGGGGGTGACACACCGCCAACTTCCTAACTCCGGGCTGTTACTGAGATATACAGAAAGACTCAATAAATAAACTTGGCCCGACCCGGGACTCGAACCCAGGACCTCTGAGTGTGCAGCCGTACATGCTAGCCACTACACCACCGAGGCAGTTAAAGACCACTTGACTACCAAACATTTAAACCTTAAAAAAATTGAAATTGAATATACCAGACTCTTTAACACCTCACTGTTGGGGGTGGGTCTCCCTACAACGCGAGGGGGATCAAACCATAGTCCGCCATGCTGGCCAAGTGCGGGCGGACTGAGCATGTCTTTCGAAGGTTCTCTCAGACATGAAAGTTTCCTCGCGTTTTCTACTTCACCATACTAATATTCTATACAGATGAATAAAATTGGAGTCTGTGTGTAATTTCAAAAGAACAGCTTTTTACTAAATGCTTATGAAAGTATATATACGGTACTAATAAGAATATATCATCAACTTGATTCCATATACAAACTTTCATCCCCATTTTCACCCCCTCAAGGTATGTATTCCGGGATAAGAGGTATCCTATGTCCTTCCGAGGGTCTCAAAGTATCTTCTCACCAAATTTCATCTAAATCGGTTCAGTAGATCCAGAGATTACCCCCTACAACGTCACAAACTCACAAACTTTACCTCTTTATAACATTACTATAGACTAGCGATTTATCCTCGCTTTGCTCGGGTACGTTCCCAGGTACGCGAATTACAATTACAATTTCATGGGTTTTAATGTTTTTGCGCGGAACCCTGATTTTTTTTCCTGAATAAAACTAAGTCTAAATTACTCCTTATAACATTAGCTATCTGCCAGTGAAAGTCCCGTCAAAATCGGTCTAACCGTTTCGAAGATTAGCCGGAACAAACAGACAAGGCAGACAATTTTTTTAGAAATTGTGTTGTTTTTTTTCTTCTATATACCGTATATCCTTTTATATGCATTTAGTTAAAAGCTGTTATTTTAACACTAGCATTGCCCGCGGCTCCGCCCGCGTTCAGATGACCACAATCCAAATCCTTAGGTTTTACATATTAGTATATCTTACATTGCGGTTTTTGTATTTTTTCTCAGAAATGAGACATTATCCCGAGGTAAAAAGTGTCCTATATGTTGACCCGGATAACCAGCTATCATCATACCGAATTTCATCAAAATCTGTCCAGTGGTTTTCTCGTGATGTGGACAGACACAAATTCTAAAAACTGTAGATTCGGACTCTGTATCGATAATAATGTCTATTTCAATAAGATTTTCCAAAAAATATTTAATGTACAAATTCGACTTAGTTACAATTTTATTATATGTATAGATTACAAACAGAAACTTCAATTTTATTTATCTGTATAAATGTATATGAATATATATATATATTCATATGTATAATATCTAAAAATACACTAGTGACTAGGTTATAAGGAAAATGTTACATCTTATATCTTGTGGTAGTATGAAAGTTACCGCAAGTTTTCTCAGTTATATAACTACTTGGAAAGTGAGGCCGGACTATAAAATGAGGTGTAATGACCGCAGAGGTTACGGGTTCGATACAAAGTCGTCCTATATATCCGAATCTATACATATAATAACATTCTAACTCAGTTGAATGTGTATATGTATTAAATATTTAATGGAAAATCTTATTGAAATTGTCATTATTATCGATACACAGGTCGAATTTATAGTTTTATTAGAATTTTTGTCTGTCTGTCTGTTACCGCATCACGAGAAAACTACTGGACAGATTTTGATGAAATTTGGTATGATGATAGCTTGTTATCCGGGTCAACATATAGAATACTTTTTACTGCGGGAAAATATCTCATCTCTGAGAGATTTGATAATGATAAATCTGTATGTAAATAAATAGGCTAAATTAAAACGGTTCAGTACCTTTTTCTCCTCTGTTTGTCAATCGTTTTTTTTTTTGTTGTTTAGTAGTTAATTAGCTATTGGCGAGTTTTAGTATTATCAATAAAAAAAATAGTTTTTTTATATAGATAGGTAAATTATATTCATTAAAGTTTACGTCTTTTCAATGAAATGATTATAGACGAATTTCAATCACTGAGGGAACACTTGATTATGTTCATACTCGCTTGTGCTCGCTTGGGAAGCCGAATGTAGCGGGTTCAAATCCCGGGCGTCGCACCTCTGATATTATCGTGTGCGAATCATTTCCAATATGATTACACCACTTGTCTTACGGTGAAGGAAAACATCTTAAAAGGCATGCTCAGTCCGCCCCGCATTTAGCCAGCGTGGTGGGCTATGGTCTGATCCCTGTATTAAAGGAAGGCCCACGCCCAGCAGTGGGACGTTATAAGGACTGAATACATAGGAAAGCTATCTATCATCATCACGGTATGACCTTTAGAAGTGGAGTTATCTTTACATAGTATAAATAGAAGTCGCTTCCGCTGTCTGTTCACTTAATCTGATCTTTTAAACTACGCAGTAGGTTTTAATGCAGTTTTCATCAATAGATAGAGTGATTCAAGAGGAAGGTTTATATGTATAATACATGCATATTATAGTATAGAAAAGCCGAGAAATTCAAAGATCTGTATTATTGGTGTTGACGAACCCGAGCGAAGCGAGGGTGAGTCGCTAGTTATACATAAAAAAAGATTCCGACGGATTGAGAACCTCCTCATTTTTGGAAGTCGGTTAATAAACTACTCGAGCAAAGCTGCTTTATCCTTAAAAAGTGAATACTATGGTAATATTAATTAAATATCAATACGTAACGATTAAAGGAAAAAACAGGTCTTAGGTATTCAGACGGCAGGCAACATCCTGCATACATAATATTACTAGTTTAACTAAAAATATTATATTCGTTTAAAGAAAATAGTTTTGTGGTAATTTGCTGGCATCGCCGTGTATGGTGAATGTTATTAGTTCGATTCCCGACTGGTTTATTTTAGCTGCCTATGTTGTTCCAGGTCTATATTGTATAAATTATATCCAAATCAGTCAAGCCGTTTAACAGAAAATTTGACAAAATATATCTATTTCAAATACAACAACATATATCTATATATCAAGTTTTCTATATATATTTTAAGGTAAACTTATCTTTTCGGATTTTTAGCGGATTTATTTTGATGTTTCGTCCCCGACGTTTCGAATGCTTTACAGCGCACATGGTCACGGGTGAGACTCAAGTAATTATATAGTTGTTACAGACAGCATCTACTCGTATATATATATTACAAACTTCAACAAATAATATACCATACTAATATTATAAATGTGAATGTTTGTTTGTTTGTCCTTCTTTCACGTCGAAACAGACTAACGGATTGGCGTGATTTGTTCTGTGGAGATAGTTGTAGTATGGCTGGAGAGTGACATATGCTACTTTTTACCGCGGGAGATTATCTAATTCCTACGGGATAACACGTTATAATACAATCGAAAAAAATATAGATCCAGCCGATACAAAGCAAAATATATCGACTTCGAAAATATTTGATTAGGTATGTATAGTAAATGAAAACTACCAATCGGTTATTTTTTACTTTTTAGTGCTTTTGTATGAAGTCGGTTTTTATTTTTTTGTTTTAAAAAGTTTTTTTATTTTCATGTTATTTTAACTAAGTCGTTGTTCTAGATATTAAAGCATTCAAACAAAGAAATAACAATAACATCTTCAGTTACATAATAAACTATGAAGAAGACGCAATATTTAATGATATTAAGTAATAATAAGTACAACATATTTCTTACAATGTTTCATTTATTATAAGAGAGCTATCTCATGTGAATTATTTTTTTAGAAATTGTTAAAAAGTTGAGAAATCGTGCTAGTTTACATCACAACCAGTACATTGTATTATAACAACGGACTCGTCCCCGCTCCGTTCGGGTTCGTCCCTAGTATAGATTTCTCAGAGACGAGATATTTTCCCGCAGTAAAAAGTATCCTATATGTTGACCCGGATAATCAGCTATCATGATACCGAATTTCATCAAAACCCCTCCAGTGGTTTTTCTGTGATGCGGTAATAGACGGACAGACAAAAATTCTAAAAACTATAGATTCGACCTCTGTATCGATAATAATGTCTATTTCAATAAGATTTTCCAAAAAATATTTAATGTACAGATTCTACTCAGAATTTTATTATTTGTGTGATTTTAAGTCGGTTTTTATTCGTCGTAATGCTACTCTCTCTTATAATGTCGATTATCTAAAGAAAACGCGGAAACAACAAAATTACGTATTCCAAGTACTGCTACTTAGATTTTAGATATGTATATGTTAGCATAGTCATAATAATTTTTACATCATTTCATTTAAAATATCTGTATTTATTATAATGAATTAAAATAAATTAATTAAAGTGGCAATAATAATGTGTTAAATAATAATTATATTTATTAACTAGCATTGCCCGCGGCTCCGCCCGCGTTCAGGTGACCAAAAACGAAATTCTTAGGTTTTACACATTAGTATACTCTTAAATTGCAGTTATTGTATTTTTTCTTAGAAATGAGATATTTTCCCTCGGTAAAAAGTATCCTATATGTTGACCCAGATAACCAGCCATCCCGGGGGAGAAGCCAACTCCTACCGGGCGCGTCCCCAGGTGGCGGATAGGGGCATGCCACCCGCTTAGAGGGGCGGGTGGTACCGGAGAAATCCGGCGCGGACCAAATGGCTTGGATGGGGCCGCTCGTCTAGGCCTCGAGCCGAAGACGTTGCGGCCACCGGTGGTGGGACCGCTTGGTCCCACAACCGGATGATGGGTGCCGATTGCGGGACTGTGGTCGCAGGCCCGCATTCGGCGGAGGGGTAGGCCGCGGCGGGAGAGGAGTGCCGGTATTTCGGTGCGCCGTTCTCCCTACCTTCCGCGGCCTAGACGGGGCCGCCACCGTTTGATGGCGGACGCGGTGGGGCTGCAGGGGAAGAGGAGTGTCGGTGTTTCGTTGCCGCTCTCCCTGTCCTCTGCAGCCGATTGGAGGTGGCCCACTTCGGTGGGCGGTGTTTGTGTGGTGTGGGGCTGCTCCGGGTACTTCTCTGATCAGCAGAGTAGACTTAGGAGCGGCCTCACTTTTTGGGTTGTAAGTCTTCCCATAAGGGGTTGTCCCGCTTGGGGCGGCCTCATGGTTGGTGGCTTCGGCCAACCGTCGGGGCGTCGCGGTTGTATGCGAGAGCGATCCCGTGGCGCCCCACATGGCGGCAGAGGGGGAAAGTTGGGTTTTAGTGGGTATGCCGGTCTCATTAGCCGGAGAGTCTCCACATAACCACCCCGGGGGAAGTCGGGTGGTATCCGTAATAGGATTTCCCAACTATAAAAAAAAAAAAAGATAACCAGCCATCACCATACCAAATTTCATCAAAATCCCTCCAGTGGTTTTTCTGTGATGCGGTATAACAGACAGACAAAAAATCTAAAAACTACAGATTCGGCCTCTGTATCAATAATAATGTCTATTTCAATAAGATTTTTCAAAAAATATTTAATGTACAGATTCGACTCAGTTAGAATTTTATTATATGTATTAGTCCGTTGTATGCATTAGTCCCTCTGAGTTTCTTTCCAGTTCCAGTTGCCAGTTCTTCTCAGGTCTGAGGCTTCTTCTTTCCGAACTGGTAGTAGACTCATGACGTTCAGTAAAAAATTGTAACAATTTAATGCTGAATAAAATATTTTTTTTCGGATTTTTGCCGGGATTTATTTTAATTTTCGACACGTCGGAAACCGAAAATCAAAATTAAACCTAAAAAATATTCCTTAAATCAGTATGGCAAAATCGGGAATATCATAAACAGCAAATTACGCTACTATTTTTGGCTTTGACATTTATTTTGGCGGACTCTTATTATATATGTAATTCTTTAATATATACATTCTTTAATATAAACAATATGCGCCATCTTTGTTATTAGCAGTAGTTTGTGTTTTTTTATAATCTCTCTGTTCACTTTATTTTACAGTACCTGGGCCACCGAGCTTCTTTTAAAAACTAAAAACTTGAATAAATACAAAAAAAAAAACAAACAAAAAATTATACCTTTGTATCCGACCAGGATTCGAACCCGGACCTATGATTGTCAATCTTACGATTTGTCCGCTTGATCATGATGCTTACGCCTGAGCGTGCGAAATTATTGACCATATTTTGCGTGGAATAATGCGAAAGAAAACCGCATGAAAATTCGAAAACACGCGTTTTCCCAGACATAAGACTAATCTAGATCGATTTATCGCCCCCGAAACCCCTTGTATACTGAATTTCATGAAAATCGTTGGAGCCGTTTCCGATATTCAGAATATGTATATGTACATACATATATACAAGAATTGCTCGTTTAAAGATATAAGATTGGCAGTATTAGTCCAATGATAACGCGCTCGCTTGCGAAACCGACTGAAGCGGGTTCAAGTCCCGGGTCTCACACGTCTGATATTTTCATATGCGAATCATTTCCAACATGATTAACACTTGTCAACGGTGAAGGAAAACATCGTGAGGAAACCTGCATGTCTGAGAGAACCTAACAAGTTTCCATGTAAATTCCGTCAACCCGCACTTAGCCAGCGTAGTGGACGAACACGCCCAGCTGTGGAACTTTAAAAAGGGCAGACTATACTATACAATATACACATATACTATACTAAATTTTATTAGCATCTAGCGGAGTCAGTGTGAAACATACAGACATACAAACTTTCGCATTAATAATAGTAGTCTTAAGAAGTATATACATATAACTAGCGAATCACCCTCGTTTCACTAGGGTTCGTCCCTAGCTTGATTTCCCATACAAACTTTCATCCCCATTTTCACCCCCTTAAGGGCTGATTTCCGGGACAAAAACTATCCTATATCCTTTCCAGAGTCTAAAACTATCTTACTACCAAATTTAAACTAAATCGGACCAGTTATTCTGGAGCTTATTCGGTACAAACAAACAAACAAAAAAATCTTTCTTCTTTATAATATTAGTATATGAAAAATGACTTTTTCGTATCAAGTCGCAAAAGACCTATGCCCGATTTCACCAACAACCCATAAGCTACCACCTACGTATGGGATCCCTAGCTTAAATTTCCCCTAAACTAGCCCCTAAATTAAATTTCGTTTTACTATCGTCTGAGCCCGTATATTTAGGGGGCATTTTAACATTTAGGTGACCCCTAACTGTCGGTGAACCAGAAACTGTCCCCTAACAGCCCCCTAACCATCCTTAGGGGATCCTTTAAACTTAGCTGACGTTGGTGAAATCGGCCATTAGGCACCTAGGGACGAACTCAAGCAGAGCAGGTCTAACTTAATAATATTATGTAACATATCAAACTTACTTGTGCATAACATCGTGTATAAACATTATGAAATAGAAATTTCTTTGCACTAAATATTTTGTGGGTCGTTATTACAATGTGTTGCAAACTGGTGCATATTAAAATATCATAAATGGTTCATTGGTCAATTAAAATGTTTTCATGGGTCGCGGGTTTGGATTTTAACACCTCCAGGTAAATTTCTAAGAAATTAATGAAGTTTCTAAGAAATCTATTGTTAACTGTAACGTCGCGCCGGCGTGTCCGCGGTCGTTGAGGGATTAGTATTCAGCCCTTTTTAAAAACCCATTGCTGGGCTCGGGCCTCCCTTCAGGCCATAGTACACCACGCTGGACAACTGCTGGCGGACTTAACATGTCTCTCGAAAACTTGCTAGTTTCTCTCGAACATCAGGTTTTCTCACGATGTTTTGCGTAAACAAGTGGTTATCATGTTGGAAATGATTCGAACATGAGAATATCAGAGGTGCGTGACCCAGGATTTGAACCCGCTCCACTCGGTTTCCCAAGCGAGCGTGTTACCACTGGGCTACCACTGTCTTTGAATATTAGTGTTTAAATATTTTTTTAAAAGGTTTTGTCTACTCTGTAAGTAGATATGTACTGGAATGTTGATTGCATATTTATTTCAAAGAAATGAAAAAAGAATTTTTGTTGGTTTTTTTAGTGATGTGATAGTCCATGTGGTTTTTTTTCTAAATTATTAAGAACTAGTGTTTTCCTGCAGCTTCGCCCGTATAGTACATTAATCACCAATATATCGTATACTAAAACCTTGTCCGAAACACGCTGCATCTTATGGTATGAGTATTATTCCGATCGGTTCAGTAGTTATCGCAGTATAACCGAACAAAAAAATCAGCTGTCCATTTATTAGTATAGATATCTCACTTTTTGATGAAAATGTTAATAACTTAATTATAGTATACTTAAGGAATTCTAATCTAATATATTATTCTAATAATTTGAATACAATAAATTAAGTTTTTAAGTAATTTAATATAGTTACAAACAAAAAAAAATACTTACGTATTAACGATAAGAAACACGCGAGCGGCACTGTCGTCTGCATCTTTACACGGATTACAAATAAAAAAACTTAAGTCTACTAAATGTAAAAAAAAATTATGTCAAATTATATGTATATGAATATGGCGGATAAATCGAGCGCGCACTTTCGCGGCAAAAATAGAAATGGCGGTAACGAGTTTCCCGCCACAATTCTTAAAAGGATAGGAAGGTTGTAGTGTTACGTTATTGAGAGTGGAAAATTCTTATTTATGACTTTATTTTGCTATTACTTACATAATAACGTTTTTTTGACACGTATTATAAAATATATTTTAATTTTTGTAATGGCTGAAGGCGGTGTGTTAATGGTAAAAAAGTGAAACTGAAAAAAAAACTGTTTTTTTTTCATGTACAAATCTTTTTTTTTACCGACGAATCTCCTTCATATCTTCTCCATTCTACGTGGCGAAGAATCTGTGTTGAACTGACACGCTTTAAAACAAGAGAATTGAATAGAATTGAAAAATTACAATAATAAATTATGGTGCAACATGACTGCCTCGGTGGTCTAGTGGCTAGCATGTTCGGCTAAAGATGCGGAGGTCTTGGTTTCGAGTCCCGGGTCGGGCCAAGTTTAGTTATTGAGTCTTTCTGTATAGCCTAGCCTCAGTAATAGCCCGGAGTTGGGTAGTTGGCGGTGTTTCACCCCCGTGCCTCGGAGAGCACGTAAAGCCGTCGTTCCTGCGCCTTTACTCTCACCGGTCGTGTCGAACACTCATCCCACCGGAGTATGAGAGTGATAGGAATAGAGAGTGCACTTTTGTCTGCACTATAATATCTCTTGCGCATCTGGCTAGTCTCAATGAGATTGGCCAAAATCTATCGGGAGTCAATCGTGGATGTTTATATTTATATGTATGTATTGAAAGGTATATATGTGTAGTGTATCAACTATCTGGTATCCATAACACAAGACTCGTAGCTCACCATGGAACTAGATGGTGCTGTGTGTTAATGTCCCAACATATGCATTTATGTATTATTTTTTCAGAGCAATCTGTGGTCGTATAGAGACATTCATATCGTCTCTGCCCCCGCCTTATCAGCTACAAAGGCCGCTACTCGCGAGGGCGGCCAGCACTGAAGCGAGGACCCCAGCGAGGGCCCCATCTTTTAGTGTGTGTTGGTCTGTCACAGCGCCGGTAAGTAGATATAGTGTGGGAACAGTATAAATAATAAAATAAATTCTCCTAATCAATCAAAAGCCCGCCAAAAAATATGGAAAAACTGCGACAACTTCCGAAAAGATAGTTACATTTAAAATGTCAATAAATCTAAATACGTATATTCAGTTTCGGTCTTCGAGTTTTGGGTTGACTTGAAATAGTTTTAAATTGGTTGGTACATTTAAAAAAAAATCTAGATCTAGTCACCACCGAAAAAAAAAGTATATGAAAACATCTAGCATTGCCCGCGGCTCCGCCCGCGTTCGGATGACCAAAAACCAAATTCTTACATTTTACATATTACGAGTAGTATGCTTTTACATTGGAGTTTTTGTATTGTTTCTCAGAAATGAGATATTTTCCCGCGGTAAAATGTATCCTATATGTTGACCCGGATAACCAGCTATCACCATACCACATTTCATCAAAATCCCTCCAGTGAGTTTTCTGTGATGCGGTAACAGACAGACAGACAGACAGACAGACAGATAAAAATTCTAAAATCTATAGATTCGGCCTCTGTATCGATAATAATGTATATTTCAATAAGATTTTCCAAAAAATATTTAATGTACAGATTCGGCTCAGTTGCAATTTTATTATATGTATGTATATAATAATTGATCAAGCCGTTCCGAAAGAGTAGTTACGAACACACGCACACCAATATTTTATATATATTTAATATACCTAGTGCTAAAAAAAAACATTTCAGTTCCCCGAAGTAATAAATGCGACGACGGGAAAACTGGAAAGCGGTCACCCATCACTCCTCTGTAAGCAGAGTATGTTCGCCAGATGGCAGTATTTGATAAGACGCTTACCTCTGTTACCTCCGGTAAGTGAAGTTTATAGGTAAGGAGTTACCTAGGTATAGGTAAGTTCAGGTAACATAAATAGGTAAGTTTGGTAATTGCCTCGTTCCGAATTAATATTCTTGTAAATGTTTATTATTTTTTATTTTATTGATATTTCTTCTTCAATAGAAAATATGCATATCAAATGTTTTTTTTTCATACTTTTTTTCAAATATTTAACTAGTTTTAAAATGAAAAAAGTGCTTTGTAATAAATATGTTGTAAAGGACTACCATTATTAAATTTAATCATACATTTGAAAAATGATTTTAAATTAATTAGAATATATAGTAATTTCTTTTTTTTTAAACTTTAATATATATAGGAACCATCTGGACCACAGTTTCCACCGCTTCCCAAAGATTTGGATAACATCCCCTACAACGAAGCAAAAAGTCTGTGCACCACTTACCAGGTGAGATATATTAGTGAAATCTGATATTTAGTAAATCTTATTAAATAAGCAATTCTTGTATGTATAAATTTATTTCGTGTTTTATCTCGGAAACGGCTCCAACGATTTGGATTAAATTTAGTACTTAGATAAGGTTTTGCTTTTTAAGTTTATCTACACAGGTGTCTTCTGTGACGACACGTGTGGCTCAGTGTGTAGTGACCGTACTTACTGTGCCAGCGGTCGCGGGTTCGGGTCCCGCTGGGGGCGTTCATTTGTGTGATGAGCACGAATGTTTGTATTCCAGTCATGGGTGGTTTATATTTATAATATGTATTTAAAGTTATATATGTGTAGTGTATCAACCATCTGGTGTCCATAACACAAGCCTCGTAGCTTACCATGGAACTAGATGGCGCTGTGTGTTAATGTCCCGACATATTTATTTATTACTTTTTTTTCATCCAACCACACAGATAGCAAAAGACCGTCTAACAACAGCGTTCGAAAGCGCCCAACTCGGCAGATGGATAAAGAAACCGATAGAACAAGACCAGTTCACTTGCGAAATCCTCGGGGCAGACCCTAGTGTTCTGTTCGCCTAGGCCGGTGGTGCTCGTAATAATATCGTGCAGATTTATAATAACGATCTATCAATCGAAATAATAATAATAATAATATATACTATCTACATCAGACTTCTAAAATGCTTGGGCTTCCTCCAATTTTTGATCCTCCAATTAATTCATAAGACTTTCGTACTCACTTGTCTTAGGTCCGTGATTTTTGATGTTCCGATACTGAAAAGCGAGATTTTTATTAATAAAAATTATAATAATAATACACAGATTTCACAAAATATAGGGATATATCGTTAGTACTCGAAAGATGTCGCATGCTGTGGTGTATTTACCAGCAGGTTGAATGGGCTTGAGCCTAAAGCGACCAATTTTAGACGGTTTTAAGGGACAGATTTTATTGGTCGTGTCACAGAAATCTGAAGAACTTCTGTAATAATTCGGTACATGATGAGTTTTGATTGGCTCAGAAATATAGCTATTTTTTGTGCAATTTCAATTGAATTGTTGAATTGTAAAAACCAAGCAACTGAAATTATAGAGGTAAAGGCGGTAATAATTTAATAGCCTATTACTGAGAAATGGGTAAATTTGCCACTGATGGCCTTTAAACACCGTCAAAAATCCAAGTAATCTCTCTCTCTCTCTCTCTCTCTCGGAGATATACAAGTCACACTCCACACCAATCTCAAACGAATCAATCTTCATCCACTGATATAAATTTAAATCACCTCTAACGTATGACTAATGTTCGCGACAGCGAAAAATAATAAGCAATGGGAGTATTAAATAAAAGAAATACGGTCCTCCTGAACGATTGCTAATCTTATCTCATCACAAGTGTACGCGCAAACACAAGTGCACTCTCTATTCCTGTCACTCTCATACTCTGGTGGGACGAAAATTCCACACGACCAATGAGATCCAGTATTCCAGATCAAATGGTGAAACCCAACTTCCCAACTCCGGTTGTTACTGAGAAATTCTTGATTTCAGTCAACTCAGTATTAATGCTTGGTCCGACTCGGGACTCGAACCCAGGACCTTCAGATTTGCATTCGTACATGCTAGCCACTAGACAATTGAGCACTCAAATGTACTTTATTCAAGTAGAATCTTAGTCTTAGTCTTCTTCCATTAATTAAAATTTTTGTAAAGTGTTTTCCAGAAGGAACAATAAACTTTGCTAAAAAAAATTTTTTTTTTCATATCAAATATCGATGCTAATATTTAAAAAGAATATATTCGATGATAGTTTAACTAATTTTGATTAAAATAGAAAAATAAATAATGATTTAGAAAGAAATAAGATTGGTTTTGATAGTAATGAAGAAGGAGATGAACATGATGGTGGGTAAAATATCGCTTTAAATGATATTTTGGGTTATGTTAAGAGTGATTTGGAGTTTGTGAAATATACTATAGTAGAAAAAATAGTGATTTAGTTTAATAATGAATAGATAAAAGATAAGGAAAATTAATCAAAATGTAGGTCGTGTTGTTGTGTTTAGTGAAGAGAAAAAAATGAAATGATAAAGAGGAAGTTAGAGAAAAGTTTGCTTTTATTATTAAAATAAATGTTATTAATAATTTTATTTCAAATGAATTCAAGAAAATGATAATATTAGTTTAAAATGCACGTTTATTTCTCACACAATACGTCAGGATCAAAAATAATATTAAAAAAATCATGAAAAAAAAACAAAAAATTTTTTTTTTAAACGTTGGCTTTTGAAGGAGTAATTAAAAATGTCTTGGGCTATTGAATAGTAAAATGATACCGTTTTTGTCAAAGATTAGTTATTTGAAGTTAAGGCGTGAAACACAAAAGTTTTCTGACATTTGTGATATTAATATTACATTTAGATGGAAAAATATACATTTTACAGATAACATATAAAAAGTGCATTAAATTTGGATAACATATAAAAATACACTAAATTTGTTCACGCTACCAATAAAAGTAATAATAGATACAATTTTATCACAGTTTTGTATATATATTAATTTAATTTATTAGTAACAAAAAATTCAAGTATTTTTCAATGTTTTGGTTTTAAATAAAGAGATTTAATTTTGCGATATTTTTTTTCTTAATCTAAATTAAATGTCTGATCCCGTTTAATTTTCTGTTTTCATTATTGAAACTTTTTATCTTTTATCAATAGCTATAATTTTATTTAATTTAAAAATTCTAATTTCATTAAACTTAATCTAATGAATATTTTCCTCTATTAATATAATATATATTTTAACTGTTTCTATTATTTATAACTTTTTTTATTCGATTTTTTTTATTTTTCAAAACTTGACAAAACAAATCTTTTTTTTAAATTTTTTTAAACATCAATTACATATATTTAATTACATTTTAAATAAAAGAGAGTACTCGCAATGCTAGCAATAATACATGATATAATTAACACATTATACCTCATAGATACTTAGTATATATTTTAAATAAAATTATCTTTTCTGACTTTGTGCCGATTTTTTTGAAGTGAAACTTCTTTAGAATCGTTGTGATTTGAAACTCGATGCAACGGAAATGCGACAGTAAAAAGAGACAAACATATAAATATATAGGATTAAGCCGGCGATAGAATGAGATAGAATACATTGCGATGATGCCATGGTAACCGTTGTCATGGTAACCGTTGTTATTTGATAGAATACATTACAAAGGAAGTGAAAAATAATAAAATTCATTACTGATTATTATGTAATGTTTATATTTATGTCAAATAAAATGTAAAATAACTTTTAAACTTGGTAAAAATAATATAAAAAAATCCTTATGATTATCCTACTCCTGATACTCTATATTCATATCATTTTCTGAAGTTTCACTTCTACGATGTGTGAATTGCACATTTATTTTATTTTTTATTTTTTATCCTTGACACGTTTCGAATGCTTTACAACAGACATGTCACGGCAGAATCTGAGGTTTTGACGTCTATAAAAACAACTATTTACTTTACCGTTTAAAAAAAGTAATTAGTATTTGCTTTATAGCATTCGAAACGTGAATAAAGAAAGAAAAAAACACAGCAAAGTCCGTAAAGATGGTTTTGCTTGAAATGTCAAAAATTCGCGTAAATTTAAGAAAATACTAGTGTGTAATCTGTCGGCCGATAGATTATTAATAAAACAAAATGGCGGTTTCAAATTGGACGCCTTCAACTTTTATTCCTAATGTTCATTATTCCAACCGCCATATTTAGAATGATAGTTTTATAGAAATATTTTCAGTTTGAGCTCAGATAAGTTGACTTTCTACAAAATTACAAGGTTTCCCAACCTTTCTTCTGTTGAGCCTCCAGGTTTTAAAAAAATATTTCATACCCCCCTTTTCTTTTTTTTATTGTATTATTACACATTATTTTAACAATTATTATTTATTTAAATTTTAATTTATACAAAATAAACTCTCTCTCTCTCCGCTTATCTAAAGGACGTAATCTATCGCCGTAATCTCGAAGTCCCCCTGGTTGGGAACTCCTGTTCTACAAGATAGTAGATATCGCTAAGATAAAGAATACCAGCTTAATATCTAGCTATGTTAAATCTTGGAAGTCGATTTTGAACTTATTCCTAAGTTTTAATCGTTGTATCGATTTAAAACATTTCCATGTGAAATCCGGATGAGAATACAAAAATTTGTTATCAAGCTGGTCTGATGTTTGCAGGAGATACAAATAGCAAAACTTTCTAGTTTGAGCTCATTTAATTCGTTTTGATCATAATTGAAGCGTATTTGATGTATGGCACATTCAAGTTGTGGAAAACCAATTTTTTTTGTTGTTTTTTTTATCTGTAATTTTAGTTGTCCATAAGCCGTATCGATTATAGAAAGTCAACTTATATGAAAGGTGGTATTTGATATTGTTAATGAGGTCTCTATCGGTCGATTTTGTCTACTTTTACATAGTGAATAGATTTTAAAATTAATAACGTCGTAGAAAAATGCTAGACTTTAGAATTAATAAGAGAAACACAAATTTAAGATAATAATAAAGCTTCGATTTTTTGTCTCGTATTCCAAAAAAAAAATTTTTTTTTTCAACTTTACTGATCGTTCTTTGACCAAATTTACCTTTTTTTCTATTAAATATTATAATAACATATTCCTATTCCAGAAAAAAAACGTATTTGTACTATAAAATATTAAATAACTTTATTTCTGTTAAAATCAAGAAAAAAAATAGTTTTTAGCCTATTTTCATCTGCACTATGTTATGTCGTTCGGGCGTCACCTATTTAGGCAGCAGCTCAAGTCATTGGGCCCGTGGATTTGTATTTAATCTGCATTTTTAATTTAAAAAAAAAACAACAATAACAGATCATGTATAAATTATTAAAAAAAAATTGAAATGTGTGATGTTCTTGTTTTTTTTTTAATTTAATTTAATATGAATTTATAGTGAGTATTCATTTTATTATTCATATTATTTATGATTTAACAAAAAAAATATATTTTCTACGGGCCCTGTGCTACTTTAATATAGATTTTTGCTTCTCGCTTCTATTTAATATATAGTATTAATATTAATGTCTGTCGGTTACTTAAGAAAAAAAAACAAAATTTTGATAATCACATCAAAATGGCAGCACCACTTTCTTTAGTTACTGACAGACATGTAAACATGTAATTATTAATAATTAAATTGTAATGTTTATTAATTATAGTTTTTAAATTTAAAATAATATCTTGTCCACCGAAATCATTGCTGCCCTATTAAAATTATACAATTTTCAATAACATATCGAAAAAATAATTAACATAGATTAAAAATAGATTTTTGTTTTGGCCAAAGTATACTAGGACTAGTCAGATTTTGTATTTTTTTTAAATAATAATGAAGTGATACTTAAAAGGTTTTAATTATTTATTATAAGCGTGACATATTGTTTTTTTTAAAGCGTAGTTTTGGCTTTTGAGTCAATAAATATAATTATTGATAATATAATGTAAGCAGATGAATTTCATTTAATTATTAATACCTCCAGGCAAATTTCTA